TTTCTGTCGCATGGTTTTTTTAGATCATTTAAAAAGGAATAATTTTTCATACATATTTTTTGGTATCTTGAACTGTAGGAATAATTCCCCGCATTTTTAAGCTAACCAACACAGAATTTTTCAATTCGACAGTAGTTTCTGATTAGTTTTCAAACAAACTCATACTTTATATATTAGTATAGAAATAGATTATAGTTTGGTTGAATATATATTCAGATGTTAAATCTGAGTTTCTCTATAATATTTTAAGTACGAAACATGTTTCGTTTCGTCCTATGGTGGTCACATTAATGTACTTGTTGCAGCAATTATGTATAATTTTGTTTGTCTAATTGTTGTTATAATGTTGTAGATATCATGCCGGTTGTTCGCGTGGGAGGCGGGTAGTTGGAGGGAACGCGGTCGAGGGGTGTTGCGGCTTAACGACACCTCTTGCGGTGGCGCTCGCGTCGTGGCCCGCGTGGCTGGCTCACTTCGTGTTGTGCTAAATACTAAGCTGTGGCCTGACATGGTAGTGGAGCGGGCAGGCACCAAGTCCCTGAGGATAACGGCAGCCGATGCTCAACTTCAAATTAAACTGTTCCTTATCATGGTGAGTGTATTTTAGCTGTGCGAAATATAATAAGTCCATAATGGAGTAAATATAAAAGAGAAACACTAGATTTTGAATCAGTTATACTATCGTTGAAAAGATTTATCTTGTAATAAGTTATTGCATTGCTTGTGTGTCCAGCAGTGGACGCTGAACGGCTGAATCGAAGTTATTGCATTATATTTTACTAGTTTTAAAAATATCATATTTTGTTATTTTTAAATTATGTTGCGTTTGCACGGAATGTCCTTTATTTAAATACCGATGAGGCGTAAATTGTTTCGGTCGGGAAGGGCACAAAAGTACCCTTGCATCAATAAATTCACCAGTGAAATAGACAGAGACATGTTGTGCAATCGTCGCTTGGTTATAATTGTTAAATGTTTAAAAATATATTTAAAGCAGGTAATAATATGTCGTTATATGAATTATTAAAGTGTTGATTTAAGAAAGCTTCTGTTAAGTGTTTGAATTGGCTATATATAGTACAATTATTAATGCTTTGGCATAGCGTTTATCATATGCGCATGCGCAAGTAGTACGTCATCAGTGTTATAAACACAATGATCTACATAACAGGCAATTTGTAGATTTCGTTGAGGCTATTTATAGTTGAGTAAAATTTAACTAAACTAAATAATTGATTTGTTTGGTATGATGACAATTCTTATATTTGTACAATAAGTTCACAGCAGACATATGCTGTGAACTTATTGTAAGGTCAAATAAGTTCACAGCATATGTCTGCTGTGAACTTATTTGACCTTACAAGTCTTTTATCTCTGGCATTAAAGACTTGTAAGGCCTATTGTAAGGATATGGAATTGTGACTTAACGTGTTCTACTATTAACTCTCTAACTAAGCCAACTTAGATGGGATTCGGCTAATGTAGGAAAAAGGCTTAGGTTGGGTTTAAAAGTTTCTTTTCAGTGTCAGTTTCAGGTAAAATTTATAATTTACTACAAAAAACTTGATTTTCTTTTTAGGGAGCACCAGATGATATTGCACAGTTACATCGAGCGCTTCAGATTCGAGTAGCAAGAAGTAAAAGTATATCAATTAGTAAAGACCCAGAACACGCACACGTAGAAGACGAAGGCAAATCAGTCGACGTAGACGATTTCGGACCAGACGACGTCAATGAGATTGAAGATATTGAAACCATCGAGGGCGACAAGGATAGCGATAGGCTCGAAGCTAATTCCGAACAAAAGACTGAAACTGACGAATTTGACAATGAAAGTAATGAAGAAAAGGAATTGAAGGCTCTGAAAAGGAAAGAACCAGCCGAAGACACGACGTCCCCAAAAAGACAATGCCCAGACGTGCAGTTACAGTGACTTAGTGTATGTGAAATTTAATGAACTCATTTCGAAAATACGTATAGTCTCAATATATGAATTAAGAAAATTTAACTCGACGTTTACAAACTTTCTCTAACATCAATTACTGAAAGTACAATAAATTTGTCACACATTCCATATGCCGTAAAAATCCTGGAGCTTTACGCCAAATACTGTGTTCGTACTTTTGCCGAGGTATGATTTAATAAAAGCACTATGATCGAGACATCTATTTCTCTTATTTATGGCAGGATTGCTGTATCGCTTAATAATAGTCAGTCTAAAGTTTTAAACAGTATTATTGCCACATGTTTAAATAATTTCAAAAAAATCTTGCTATGCTACTCTGTCTTGCTCATAATTTTTCTTATTCATTTATTTATGCAATGTAATTTTAAACTTATTACCTTTTTATTAAGGTTTAAAATTTTAGCCCTTTGAGCATGGATATTTTCAATCGAAAATGGATTTCAAGTCAGCATAATAATTTTCAAAATCTGTCTCTAAAAGCTGTTTGAGTGTTTAACATTGCTATGTTAATATTGGACTCGTAACATTTTGTATTATTAGATTCTTTAATTTTTTTTATTCGTATTTGCCTTATATATTTAAAAGAAAAATGTAAAGGTTTAAATATTTTTTGCTGAAAATTCTTTCTTTTTAAATAATTACATAGAGTATTAATTCGTGTAGAAATATTAATATAGTTCTACTCTTGAGTGCATGAATTTATATATAAAATAAAATAAGAAAACCTCGATTTTCGTCAGGCAGTGAATATTACTATTGAATTTTTTGAAATTGTCTTAGTGTTAAGCATTTAGATATGTATGTTTCGGACGAAAGCAATCAACAAATGAAGCGCTCTAAAATAAAACATCAATCTAAAAGCACCTCGTCTAATTTTGATTCAATAAACGCGTCTTTGATGTTTTTCTCGCCGCAATCAAGTCGTCGGAGCGATTTCAAAACACTTGGCCGATGTTTCGTCGTCTATTGTTGGAATGTACGGAGCGATAAACATGGGATTTTACTAAAAATAAAATTTACAGAATTTATTCGCCTCCAGCCTGTAATTATTTAAAAGTGGACTATTGAAATCGTTGGAGCGCGGGCGTCGCGCTTGAGTCACAGCACTCGGCAGACGATCTTGGAGTCCGCCTTTTCAGAATTCAGTGCTACGAACGGCGTAAGTGCCGAAAGTCGTGTAAAAAGTTGTTCCGGCCGCGAATAGTGCGCAAGGAATTTCGTTTATAAATACGCGGTGGCGGGAGGTGCGCGGTTTGTTTGCAGTGCGTCTGTGTAGTGTTGCCAACTCGCAATTGCTTAGAAAATTCACCACCCAACTGTGGTTTAAAATTTCCAATTCATACTATTATATATATTTTATTATCAATTGTTTTTATGATCATTGAAAATTACATTGAACGAGTCTCTAATACAATTTAATATTTTCAAATGTCATCAAATTCTTAACAAACTAGACCCCCTAATAAGCAGAAATAGGAGAAAAACTTTAAATCTGGCAACACTAGCCGCGATTTTTGGTGTCTGATGTTGACAGTGGACATGATTCGCCGATGATATTCACCGGCGGGGGGGCGCGTCGGCGCACCTCGCCCGCGCCGCAACGTTCCCGCCCTCCCGCGTACCAACGTCTTCAGGACAATGTAAGTTTACACATCTAATTCATCATAATTATGATACTTCTTGTATGAAACAGTAAAAGAAAAACCCCTTTTCCCTACTTGGGGCATGGGACTCTTAATCGTAGAGTGATGGGACAGGTGAGCTTTACCGAAACAAGTAAATTATTCAAGGGATTTGAACACGATAGGTTCAAATCGTATAAATGAAGGCTTAACCTACCTAAACTTAACTAGGCGTTATAGAATGAACCAAGGTTAAAAAAGTGATAGATAAGACAAAAGTAGATCAAACTGTAAAGCAAGTAAAAACTTTGTTTTAATGTTATCATGCTATAGAAACCAATAAAGACAAACTTATTACAAGTACCTTGAGCATGTCGCACAATATAAATTAATCTAAAATGAGAATTAGCGTTATTAAATTGTATTTTTAAGAATTACTACCGTTTTCTGGGGCATATTAGGTTTGGCGGAGGGGCACTTTTTTTAAACATTCATGTTTTGGACAATTTTAACATAAAATGGGCGGTAGTTATATTGAATTCGAGGTTGGGCCACGAAACAGGTGGTGGCTATCGTATCTCTTTTATTCTAATCTCCAAAAGGTTCGACAGCGCATCTTAAATAGACGCTATGGTCCCGACAACCCACCATGCCAATCTTTTGTCAACGAAAAAAACCTAACCTAATTTCGATAAACATTCTACCATTATCTCAACAAAGAACACATTGCTCTAATTTCCGGTTTAACTGAATTTACTACTTTATTGACATATTTGAAATCATTAGCATCCGTTTGTTTTACGATCATACCACACTAATTAGAGACTTGGATTCAGGAAGTTTTAATTTTGTATGTCTATGTTTCAATGTCTTAATCGCTTTTCTATTGTTTTTGGTAATGTTTTTTCCAACTGCTGCGGTCCCTCACAGAACAATTTAGGCACCGCCGTATTTTAATATACTGTAGTGGCAACTGAAAAGGAGTATATATTTCATGAGAAATATATTATTTGCACTTTTTTATTTAAGCTACATAACAATAACAAAACAAGATGTGTTGTCGACATATTTTGTTTTTGGATATTCGGAAATCCACAGAATGAAGCCGAAACGCTATTTGACTTGGTGGCTTTTCATCTGTGGTCAGTGGTTCGAGACCCGGAGGGCATTTTGATATTCCTACCACCCATTTCTCAATATCTGGATTCGAACAAAGTTCAACATGTTTAAGAACAATTTTAAATTAATGAGAAAAATGATGTATCCAGTGGGGATCGAATGACCTGTTGATTATTAGCCCTACATTGCTACCATTACACCAAATAGTTAATAATATTAGTTAAATTAATTCAGGAAGACGGTTAGTTTAACGTTATCGAAAGATTATAGAAAAAAAATATTTTGATAAAATTTTATCAGGCGGCGTGTTAAACAGTGACAGTTGATACTGTCACTGTTTAACACGCTGCCTACCTTTATGTTACTGGATTCGAATCCCGGCATAACAGAATACAACATTTCAACAGTCGGATCTTATCATTGGCTGTTAAGAGACACCTACACAAAAATTTGTAAATAGGGTTACTGTGGGAACTCTAATTCCAGCGTCAGCATTAAAAAAGATTAAATCCGGTGAAATGTTAAACGAATGAGAACGAAGGTTGGGTGGCGTACTAAACTACTCGAGTAAATGCACGGATATAAATAGAGAGCACTAACCGAGCACGCCTAAAACGTTTGATGTTCGCGATCTAAATACAATACTGTAGTAGGTACTGAAGAAGCAGTAATTGCAAAACGGAAAAATCAAGAGCCATATGTAAGGGTACCATGGATGGACATCAAATGTTTGTATACCTTGATTTGTTTTAACACTAATAGCGTGATGCATTACTAGTTTTAAGTCCAGCATTTGAAAAGAAGAAGGTCTTTCTCAGCATCCCAGCAGGCTTGTTAGTGTTTTCCATTAGGCTTTTAGGAAGGCAGCTTACCTTAATGAACATTAATGGGTAAATGGGTAAAAAGTGCGTTAGTAACCAACAGTAAGGAAAAGGATATACAATTTAAAACCACTAAAACTGGTATTGAAAGTTGCATAAAATTCTTATATATACGTAGGTATACCGCCTCCGTAGTTAAATGGTTCCGTAGCAACCCAGGACGGGTTTGAATCCCAAGGAAACAATAAACTGTTTCAATCGGACAGGGCACAGAAAGCTGATACTTACTTGGATCTAAGTTTTGTTAACTAATAGGTAGATTAATAATTCTTATAGGAGTCAAAGCATTTTTATTTGATGGACAGCCTAAACTACTAATCTTCTTTGAGCCTATTCCTCTAACATCGCACAGGTGATTTTTTAACTTGTACCGACCTTGTGCCTGTGTTTTCGTAAACGTTCGAATGATTTTTGTAAATATAGACCTGGACTAAACCTACCTACGTGGACGCCTGAAGTATTTCGAATGAGTCAGTAAACGCATCACTAATTAGACACGCCCAAACAATGACAGAGACATTCATCAATACGGGCCAGTCGTTGCCCAAGAAGATTTTCATGAGCGAACGCATGCCAAAGAATTCCCCGAAAAGACCTTGAACGATGCGAACTTGCGACTTTTATGCGAATACTGTTTAGTCCCTTTAGCCGTAGGGCGCTGAACGCAATATGAAAATGGTCTGCACGTACACTCAGCTGTGATTGGCGATGTGTCAAGTTATTTCAATGCGTAATGTCTTCTTTCTTTCGGGTATGTTGACTACGATAGCTTTGTTTGTTAGTAGACATACAGTATGTTTACACAATTCGCCTTTCAATACCAATTTATATTAAAATAACCGTTTGTTTGCATAATTATATATATGAAATAAAATTTTTAACAATATATTCAGTTTAAAATAAATAAATAAACAATATATACAGTTTCCTTGAACTCTCGCATTATTCGACTATATTAGATAACGAAATAGGTTTACCAATAAAGAAAAGACCAGACTTACGATGAGTCAGATGATAGCAAACGTTAGTTAACAAATTTCTTAATAACAGTTCCAGGAAAAAAGGAATATCCAGTAGTAGGTATTTCTTTAACAGAACATTATAAGAATAAAATAAAACAAAAAATACATAAATAAATCAAAATCAATAATAGTTCCATCGGTAAGGCCTTTCAAATTTAACCTGTGAATGTTTACAGCAATCATCTTTTTCAGTAAAGAAACTTCTATAAAACATCTTTCTGAGTTCAAAGACATTTTTTCATCAATTCTGATATTGTATTTAATATATGATTTTTTGTGATATATATATTAACTAGGTTTCAAAGATTGATTAGTAGTAACTTCATATTGAATATAGTATATAATATTTCCGATTTGTTGATTTCAGTGGGTGCCGGGTGGCAGAGGTCGTAGACTCGGCGATGTTACTGAAACTGATGTACGCCGATCCCGCGGCAAACGCATCACGCAGCGCCGCGGTGCTATCAAACACCATAAGTAAGAATAAGTTATAAATAATACGAAAGTAACTAATCGAAGGTTTCTCGAACCCGTAGCTAATTCATTGGTTTTAGGCAGGAGTATAAAAGTTGTATATGTACGTATAAAGTATAACAGTTTGATTAACTTTAGCATCGATCATTACCTTAGCAAACAAACCTTTAATGTGATTTGTTGTAGGTATAATGTCAATGGTTAGTCGGTGGCGGAAAGATGGCGCTACTACTTATTTAAAATCCGCCTTGTTTAAATAAAACACTTTAACGGTTTAAAACGCGATATATTAGCTAACTAATATATCGCGTTTTAAACCGTTAAAGTGTTTTATTTAAATGTGTACTACTCGCGTAAACTATAGACAGTATCCGCCTTGTTGCAATAATAAATTGGTATTTCTCCGAGATAAATCAAACTTGCTATACTGGTCGAGCAGCGACCGGCAAAAAATTGTGGTACCGTGGTGGCGAATTAATGTACCGTGGTACTTAGGTCTAGCGGTAGATACACCTACATGGAGGTTCCTTTTCCCTATTGAATTTTAAATTTGTAGGGTCATCTGCTATAACACCAGCGTAGCATCTGGGGCTGAAATTCTTAATTGACTGTCCAAAGCGAGAATACTGAAATAATAACCCTTTATATTTTAGACTCAGACTAGTTATAAATCTGAGTGATAAAACAACAAAGACTTAAGCTAATTCACACCGGAACGAAACAGCTTATAAAATAAAACCGATTTACCATAGCCAAACTGCTGTACTGTATCTACGATCGTAAATATTAACTACTATAGCTCCGAAGAGCGAATATGCTTCTATCTCCAAGTAATAGTAGGTACGTATAGTACGTACACTATATAAGTAAAAAAAAAGATTGTGTACGTTCTATTGCAGTTTACCTCAAAGTTAAAATAGCTTTTTTTATTACTGATTATCCACACAACCCGTAACTTAATGATTGACCCGTAGAAATATCATGAAACACTGAAAATATCATAATTTCCGATGTTCCTATAAAGGAAATATTATGTGTTTATTTATACTATATTAGATATTCCTTTTACGATACGCTCAACGCGATATCGTCAAAGGTATGGATTGCTTCTTGTGTGAATAAAATTCGAACTTCGTCTATCTAAATTCATTCTAAAAATATGATGTACAATATTCACAACAACTTCTACAAAAAATTTTTGAATTTGGACATTCAAATTCGTTTTTGCAAACCCCTTCATTTTTATAACCTTAAGCTGTTACCCCCAACGTAGGTCGCGTCCCTTTCCGTCGTTCTTGCAAGATGATATACCTACATATTTTTTGGGTATCTTGAACCGTTTTTGCAGCGTACGCTTCGGAAACCCATTATGATGAATAATTTTCACATTTCTCGCTTCTGTATATGTCACATGGCGATGTTTTATAGCCTTCCTCGATTAAAGGGTCTGAGTAGTTTCTGAGATTAGCGCGTTCAAACATACAAACAAACTCTTCAGTGTTATATGTTAGTATAGATATATGAGTATGTTACTGTTAAATAAATATTTTAAAAGCCCCTTTCCTTCTAGAGTTCACGAGGTGCACGGCCATCGCTTCGTGGCGAAGTTCTTCAGGCAACCCACCTTCTGCGCGTTCTGCAAAGACTTCCTCTGGGGCTTTGGGAAACAGGGGTACCGATGCGTGGTGTGTCAGACCGCCGTTCACAAGCGTTGCCACGACAAACTGTTAGGGAAATGTACCGGCTCCTCGGCGCATTCAGATAGTACAGTGGTAAAAAAAAATGTACTTTTCAAAGTGTTACAAATTATATTTTCTCATAGAGAACCGGTTTTCCAACATTTAAATAGTTATATATTATTATTTTACACCTGTCAAAGCCGTAATAAGAAGTAGTTTTTACAGATTTTGTGTACATTAAAAAATTAGATAATTTTGGGTAATTAAAACGCCATACATATCTTAAAGATACTTTGTCCTTGAATACTAAATAACTTTAATCCTAGAGTAAGGCTTTGGATATATTTAACGCACAATATGTTGACAATAATTAACAAGTCGATTTATAATGACTACGCATTTATATCTCTTATTACTAGTATGTACTATGTTCTGTCAGTAGAAACTGTATAAAAATATAAATAAGTCTTAATATATTTATTTTTTATAATTTTTATTTATTACGCTGTAATTAATTTAACAGAAGTACTTAGACATCAAAAAGTAAATTAAAGTTAAATTTCAGATTAATTACGTTGAGTCGTTATAATAATATTTAAAACGGATAAAATATTTATTTTAAATAAAACACTTTTAACGGTTTGAAACGCGAAATGTTTTAATACTATTACCGCCTGATGTTTCGTCTGCTTTGGAGCAGCCGTGACCATAGGATACTGAAATCTAAAAGAAATCTCTTGAGTCAAGTCAAATGATACGCTAGCGCCATCTGTTTCCCTGTAATTAAACCGTGAAAACTGTTTTATTTAAATGTGTACTACTCGCGTAAAATACAGACACTAATTCACTTACTTTTTAATTTAAATTAATATGTAATTTGTAGCGAAAACTCCACATGTATACAAAAATCGTTTTTAATTTAGTTTAATATACCTTATAAGAATAGATCTTGACTTTCAATTCAATGACTGTAGGTAATCCAGACAAATAAGTTTTTTTTTTGTATTCTGCCATTAACGGGCACACGATATTTTTTACTACCTTCTAAATTTGCGAATATATGTTGCCCGTAATACAAAAACTAATGTTAAGGCTTTTGTGACAGTATCTTCGGGAACGCTTTAAAGTGGACGTACCGCATAGATTTCGGCCCCACCAGTTTATGTCCCCAACTTTCTGCGACCACTGCGGCGCTCTGCTCTATGGCTTTTTCAAGCAGGGACTCAAATGTGAAGGTATTTATTACAAGTTGTGTGTCAATGCGCATTACCTGTGTTACAACGATTAGAAATATGTACTTATTTAATTTCGTCGGACATCGACGAAATACGTCTAAAAATCTAGTTAAATAAATGTATAGAGGGAGACAGACAAGCATGGAATTTACTTGAAAGATCTAATAGAATCAAGGATAATAATTAATTAATCAGTTATTCGATAGTCACTGCTGAATCTCAAAATGAAAGTGCTCACATGAATTTTTTTGTTATTTTGTTGCACAATGGGGATGCGAGAATAAGACCCGACTATTAGTTTTCCAAACATATTTTGACCTCTTTAAAAAATTAAATAGGCAAAGATATGTTATAAGAATATAACACAGTGCTAAACCTAATTTACATTAATAGATGTCTAATTTTTCTGTCAATTTAATTTACGATGAAACTGTTAGTTTTGAATTGCACTTGTAATATATGGCTTGTAAATTTGTCTTATTCATTATTTATTAGCGTCGTCGTAATTTTGTAATCTCATTTAGTTCAAGTTTAATGAAATCATATTTCTTCATAAATTCTAACAGAATGTTACTGCTTTCGTTTACTACTTACTATTTTTGTTTACTAAATACATATTTTAAACCTAGGAATGTCGCTATCAGATGCATTAATACTATTTTTAATATTATAGTTCCAGGGCATTTTAAAGACATGCCTTAATGAGTCACATTTTAGCAATAAACAATATTATTATAATCGTCCGAAAAATCTATTAGTGCCACGAAATCGTCACACATCAATCACCTGGCTCGGTATTAGAGGTGGGCGGAGCGCATGATGCGCAGGCGTCGTATCGCCGCTACGCCAGTCTGCGGTGCGCGCTCGCTTGAATTACCGGGCTGTGCGCTCGGTTCGCGACACAATGCCGCTCTTTTCGGAACACATATCCAACATGTATTATGGCGGAAGCTCTTCCTATACCAGTGCACCCTATAGTTATACAAGTTCGCCATACGGCACTTCTTACAGTGCATCCTATTTGAATCCCGGAGGAAATTATAGTAATCATTCTTCTCTGGCACCATACACTAGGACATTATCATCGAGATGGCTTGGAAGAAATTATTCACCAATTCTAAGTACTATATCAGAGAAGGGTACGACGAGTCCAGTGAGAATTAACAGCCCTAGGAGGATACCCGCGACGAGAACCTATACTTCTCACATATCTATACCGACCAGCTACACTCCGCGTCCCATCAATATAAATACTGCGGATATTGACGTTTCTCGCGATAAGTATCGACCTCGAAATGTCACTTCCACGGCTGTTAATACAGAATTGCGACGAAAAAGCCCAGTCACAACAAGTACTAAAGAATCTACCACACTTAGTAACGACAAACCAAATTCAGGTGTAGACTCTGCACGAAGTTCTCCACCTCACAGGTCAACAATAAAACGCGATCGGGCCGTCATCAGATTGCACACAGTAAAGAGAAAGGATAGAGATTCACCAAGACGGCCTAATTTTACATCTAAACATGATACGACACCAAGCACTGATGCTGCAGAAGATAAACCTAAATCTGAGCAATTAAAATGGAGGGAAAGGCTTGCAGAGGATTTAGCATATGATAATAAAAAGGAGAAGAAGACCATTGGTGAAAAATTAGTTGAAAAATTTACACTAAAAAATAAAGATACGAGTGATGCCGAAACATATGACAACAATGACGTTTTGCAAACGACCAGTGAATTGTCTTTAGATCCTCACCAACCTGATGCTTCTCTCATAGATAAACCTGGTAGACGCTGTTCAATGGAATACTTAGCGGAACAAGCTTCACTACTAGATTCTTTAATTAGGAGAGAAAATTTAAGTACTGCTACATTAGATCTGAGTAAAGTTGGCTCAGAATCAGACACTAATTCTGCTGAAGGAACACCGGAAAAAAGAAAAAGAACATTTATTAATACTCTAAATCCACTAAAAACTACAAAATCAGACCATTCGATAATCTCGAAACCCGCGATTAATAGAAAAAGTTTTAAAAAGTCAACTTCCGGAGGTAACATTTGTGTTTTAGATAAAATATCTGAAATGCAACAACTAGTTAAAGATGAAAATTTAGCTCCGCTTTTGAAAAAACGTTTATCGGTAAGGAGAAGCGTTAAAAAGGAAAAAAATAAACCGAAATTGAAACCTAAAATAACATCTAGCGTAGAGGTATCAACGCCACCGAGTCCGCTTAAGTTTATAGTGGAAAATGTAACCATAGAAGAAAAAACGACTCCAAAGAAGAAAGACATTGTATATAGCACTGTTATAGACGACGTCAGTAATATAAATCAGCCCATTAAATTGTGCAGTAGCACTGTTGAAATTGGACATAGAAAAAGTGTAAAAGTAAAGATAAAACCTAAAAGTGAATACTTAACTGCAGAAGCAGTTGGTTCACCAGAGCCAGAAGATGAAAACTTTTGGGGGAAAATAGGTAAAAGGGAGACAGTTTATTTAATTCAACGAAAGAAGGAACTTGAAAAGGCCAGTGAAGAAAATAAACGCTCCATATTCTGGTTTCCTGAAGAGAACGCTGACTTAAATGAAAATGGTTGTGAAGAGACATTGAACACTGAAAATGATAACAAGGATATTAGTACTATAAAACAAGTTATACAAAACAATGACAATGAAAACCTTAAAGATTTAAAGGAAATAAATTCTACTGATATTATCAAAATAAACAAAAACTTAAAGAAAACACACGAAACGAATCAATTTACCCAAGAAACTGAACAGAAAAGCAGTAAAAACATTGCTTCAGTACTACCAACTGTAGAAAATGTAATTAGTAATGAAAATAATATAATTTTAGCAAATTCAAAAGAAAAGGCAGAACCCGAAGAGCAAACTTCTAAATTAGAAGACGTTAATAATACCGTAGATAGTTCCAGCCCTCTAAATATTGATATATCAAGTAAGATTATGGAAAAAAATTATAAATTAAAAAATGTACAAAAAGGTAAAGAAAAGGTTGACAGTGCGCAATCCACAAATAATTTAAAAAATAACTTACACCAATTCGGACCTTCCAAAATGAACACTGAAAAAGACACCTCAAAAGAAGATGATAAAGGTATCTCAAAAGCAGAGGAAAAAGTGACAATAACAGTATCTGAAAAAGTTCAAGCAGATAGTTGTAAGATTCCTATTACAGAAATAAAGGAAGAACCCGTGTTAACTCAAAATCTAACTTGTGATAGTGAATACCTCGTTAACCGTAAAAATATTATATCAGACTCACAAAATACAAAGCTTGAAGAAGATCGTCCATTAAACGAAAAAAATGAAACATCTACCCCAGAGATATGTGACAGTAATAGTATAATAGTAAATGAAAGAAACAAAGACGATATTTCTAAATGTATAGATAAAGAAATCTGTAAAGAAGAAGTAACAAAAGAATCCGACGAAGTTAAAACTGATGTTTCAGAGAATACTATAACTACAATAGAAAAATTAGAAAACAAGCTCCAAAATGAATCTTCAAATAAAAATCGTGATAAACAGGCAGCAGACATTCCACAGGCAGACGTTGAAAGTCGGTTATCAGTCAACTGCAAGACAAAGGATGAAAATGATAAAGAACATAATAAATCAATAAAACAACCGAGCATTAAAAAGCCGATCCCAAGCGCGCTTGTAAATCTACTTTTTGCTAACAAAAAGGGCGTGAAAAATACACCTGCACCAAAACCCCTGATAGCAACGCCGCGACCGCTTCAAAAGAAACCTGCTCAAATCATTCGATCGTCTAGTTCTTCAGAGGCATCTTCGTCAGACGAGTCCTCAGAAGAAGAGTCCAGTGAAAGCTCTGGCGAGTTTTATGAGTCTGAAAATAATGCGGATGGAAGAACTTCAACGGGTTCCAATGACTCTGGATTTGATTCGTCGGCGCCAAACTCCCCTTCAGCATTCAGCTATGTTCGTAAAGGTATAGATGAACTTATCAACACTAATTTACCTGTGTATAAATATTAGATCATCACCCAATATGTCGCAAAAAATATAAACGCACGCAGCTTATGCATGGCTTTGCGCTAATCGAAGCTTAGACCTTAGCCTTCCTAGTCTTAGCCGCAAACACATTATTTGTTTTAGACTGCGATGTAAATTGCCATCGGAAATGTGAAAAACTCACTGCGAATTTGTGTGGCGTGAACCAACGACTTTTGGTTGAGGCTCTAGCCTCCCGCACGTCTTCTAAACGAGGTGGGTTTGATGAAATTGCTTCTTAATAACGAATTAGGTTTAAATGGTTCCTTATTTTATTCGACATGTGTTTTTGTTTTTGCTAATTTTCGTGGGCGTACATAAAGTTGTATCTGGATACAAGCCAACCATTCCTTCACCTGTACACCATGATAACCGCAGATAGCAGAGAATTTGTAATCGAATTATTTATTAATAATTGTTCATCTCTCGGTCTTGGAATTAATTTATCGGAGGCAACATTAATTACGAATTTCTCATAAATTTCATTAAGAGTCTTAATTGTTGAAATGTCTGGAAGAGATCTATTGATAGCAATAATACCGCCCGTTGACCTCCATAGTTTATAATTTGTCGCAATAAATCAAATTTATTTCAAATAGTATTCGGATAATTGCTCCTACATACTAAAATTAATATAAAACCCCTTTCATTCAAGCACAAGATTTGCCACTGTTCTAGTGAAATCTTTCATGCCAATATTTTTGGCCAGACTTCAAACGTAATGTATTTTTATCGTGGCTCACCTATCTATACTGTTGCGATTAATGTGTTGTTTTACGGCGATTTATTTGATTTTATGGCTATGACGTGGAAACAAACATGAGGGATAATTTGTTCCATTCACAGTAACATACGGTGCTGGGAATTATTATCTTTAGTAAAGCATCTGGTCAAATGAAATAATGCTATGTAGAAAGACTCTACTGCATAACTGCGGAGTAATTTTTAGTATCTATATAGGTAGGGAAAAGTCAATACAGTCTCAAAAACTATAATCGAACTACATGCAAACTATATTAACCAGTTTTTAGAATAATTCGAACACTTTGTTTATTAAACTAGACCCGGTGTGGGGCGCGAGAAGAAGAAAGGGTTAGATAGAGTGGGGGTGGCAGACTCGGGTAAAAAAGGCTATTCTTTATCCGTCATATGTACAGGTGCAGATCATGCCACTACCTCTTCAGGCTCAGGGCCTGCCGAAACCAACTCTGACATCCTACAGCAAGAGCTTGGTGAGATTTAAAACTGTATCTCGTTATCTCTTCTTCACCACTTCTATATACAACGCTCTGTTCTAACTGTGTATGCTATGAGGCGCTATTAACACAGCATAAATGCTAAATCTAATAAATAAAAATATTCCAGCGATGTAAAGGTACGTACTATCATATTTAATTTCAGTTCATACAAACAAGCTACTTAATAAAATTCTATTTCAAGATGAACTCTTAGTTCGTAATAAATTCACGCTTCCTGACACAATTGGCAAAAAGCGAATTGTATTTTGAAACCGGCTAATAATAGCGATGATGAAAGCGCTTCAGGACTTTCTCTCAAAGTTATCAAGACCTGGATTATCTTCCGCGTTCTTCCAGCGCATAAATAAAACAATCTGTATGCAACCAATAATGCAATTTCGTGGAATATGTAGGAAACCTAAAACAGTTGCTGTCTGTAGAGATAGCCACGGTAGGCTAAAACATAAGCGCTGGCTGCAAATTTAAGTTACACATTTAATGTTACCATTTTATTTGATTGCTATGTTCTTCTATTTGGTTTTTTATATAAATATTTTTATTATAAGTAACTCTACTATACTAATACTATCTATTATTCGAAAATTAAAGCAATAAGTTCTATAGCTAATTAAAAGATTTATCAACCTTAAAGCTATTTAAATAAAACACTTTAACGGTTTAAAACGCGACAGGGGTGACGGCTGCAAAGCTTCCGAAACGTCGGGCCGAAGTTAAAAATAATTTTCAAATAAGTTTAACTAATATATCGCGTTTTAAACCGTTAAAGTGTTTTATTTAAATGTGTCCTACTCGCGTAAACTATAGACAGTGTCCTTAAAGCTAAGCAAAACAAAGTATGTAATAAAACTTGGCTCGGTCGGTTAAACTATTGGTTTTTTTGTTTTGTTCAAAATAACTTTTTCTATTTATATCGGCCTAAAATAAATGACTTTCGCGAGTTCATTTGGAGATGTAAAACGAATGTTGTTCGTACTGAATCATTGCATGTGTTTTCGCCAAATTGATCGACCATCGGCACTTGAATGATATGATACTGTAGCATCTGCAGGCACAGGTAGCAAAGAATCGTTTTAGCTATAAATATCCAGTTCACCAAATTTTATCATTAATTTAAAGTTCTTATAAAACATGTTAGACTTTGTTGGGTAAATCTAAACTCGAATGGGTGGTAGGGCATCTACGTTTCGGTTCCAATTTGTTGATTTTAGAAGCCAAAATAGGTCGATCCCATGAGATAGATTCCAACAAAATAACTCCACGCTTTTGTTTTCCTTTGGCATAAAAATATGTTTAAGTATACTTGCTGCTTAGACTGACTGAGAATCTAAACAAATTCATAGTTAACGTACTTAGAAGGAGTTTTTTTGCCAAAATCCATCGTTAGTACATATATCATCAAACAAAGGCTATATGCACATCGAGAGTCGATGCCAAAATCTGACACAAACTTTGTTTATTGTTAATCATAACGAAAATATATTCTTTTCAGCGTTCTCCGTTTTCCAAGAAAACTTTTGGATGATTAATGAAAACTGGATTTATAATATTCATTTCGGTTTAAATAAAAAACAACATTCGTTCTTCGTCTGATTGGAGCGAAATTATTTAATTTTAATACAATTTCATAGCTGCTCTTCCGTCTGAGTGGCAGCTAATTATGTGGCAATTATTAAATTGATGACAGTAACAAGCATTAAACGAGCCAAGTGCATTAATAATCTATATGCGTATTAATATTTCTATTAAGCGTCTTATACGATATTATTTTATTATGGAATAAGTATATAATAATAATTTAATACAAGCTGTGTAAGCGGACTAACCGCTTACTAGTTATTTTCGGCATTTTAATTTGTTTTTGCAAACCTCTTCTTCAGCTTGATTAATTTAAGTTACCCACGACATTGGTCGCGTCTCGTTGTTCGGGTTCGTTCGTTCGTTCTTGCAAGTTAATCTTAAAAGGTAGACACATCGCGGACACTTTCTTAGTGTATTTAAAAAGGAATCATTCTTTGATATATAATTTTTGGTTGTCTTGTACCGTTATCGCAGCATACGCATCGGACACCCACAGAGACTAATAATTTTTCACGTTTTTTCCCACATTTCCCGCTGTTGCTTCGCACCTAGCGCGATCTCTTATAGATACATAAATACTCTAACCGACACAAAGGATTCTTTTAATTCGAATCAGTATTTCCTGAGATTAGCGCCTTCAAACAGACAAACAAAGTCTTCGGCTTTATATTTTAGTGTAGATCGAACTGATAAAAACATAACTGAGGAATCTGTTTACTATTATGAATTACTACAATAGAATAAGATTTTAGAACCTAGATTTATGTACGTAGAATAGGTAAGGTTAGGTTTTTGAGATCCTGTGAATTAATATCGTGAAAGGATTAACACAGCATTCACAAAGAGAAGAAAACAAAAGCATACGACATGTCACACCTTTCAAACTCTAAAAATAGGTGCTTACAAAATGTTCGTGTCATTTGGCTAATAATGAAGCAGCTGTTGATATACACAGTATATATCTTTTAAACATAGCAGGATATATGTTTAAATGTTCTTTATTTATTGTTACTTACGAAGCGTTAAATAAATCTATGATAACACAATTAAAATTTGTATAAAAATAGAATTTTGAATTAGAGAACAATGCATTGAAAATCTTTATCACCTCATATACTTATAATATTACATCAAAAAATCACGATTTAAACGCGACTATTTTGAGAGTAACCCCATTAATTTAAAAAAATACGAGTAGGTAATATAAACTGCATATGGAAGATTTTAAGAGCCCATCATGTTGCTCCACTGCAAATTGACGGGTTTTCGACCGTTAAAAATTTATATTTATGTCTGGGGTGGAAGGTAGAACGTCCTTTTCCAAGAAAACCGGTGGTACCCCTTCCAAGTAAACTAATAGATTTTTTTTTGCAATCTGAATTGCACTAACCGCTAAATGAAGTAGACGCTGGATTTTTTATAACAATAGACATTGTTTTTTACGTTAAGTATTATTTAAAGCGTTCCTTGATATTTCATAGTGGGAGCGAATTATTTTTAGAGAGGCGCGTGATTTCCCGCGAGCCGTATCGCGTATGAAAAATTAAGCGGACCACGTAGTAACGATTATTATGTCATTAGGTGTACGAGATATCGACAAATAATGTGTAACGTAACGGTAACGGCATAACGTAATTATGAATGATAATGATAAACTTCAGTATTAGATCCTATATTATTTTAAAGTAATTTATGTGAGTCTTTTTTCAAAGACAGTAAAAGCTGTTATCTTTAAATCAAATGTACACCGTGTCTATTCTTCTATTATCTCTGTAACACCTAACATGATATATATCTCTATATATATTACTAGCTGATCTGGCTCTTCTGGCTTGACCTGGTTCTTGGCTCTTTGCTATGAAATATTTAGACGAAGTTTGATTCTGGTAAAAACCGTACTTTTGAGTCTAATATTAAAATATAGACATGTTGGTGACACGTTCTTAAGATTATTTAAGCAAGAATAAAAAATCTTTCATACACATTTATGGGGTATCTTGAACCGTTTTCACAGCGCAAACCCTAAGAATAAATAGTTTTCCCCGTTGTTTATTACAATTCCCATTGTTTTTTCGCTCCCATTCGTTACAGTGTTATGTTTTTCCTTAAGCCTTCGTCGCAAAATTATATAACCAACTTTTGTATGACCAAACGAACAAATAAACAAACTATTCAGCTCTATAAGATCAGTTAAGATTATGAGCAAGTATTCAATTTGTCTTAAAATTTAAATGTTGAGTTATGTTCAAATCCGTATTAATGCTTTCAAAAGCGTAGACACCTAAATGACAGAAAAATTCAATAAAATCTATAAGCAATAGCTTCATCTATATTTAAATAGGATCATTTCTAAGTGGTATTTAATGTTGAATATTTTGCAGAACAATCCACTGCGTATGAACTTTTCAAGAAGACTGGAAGGTTCACGCCCCCGGCTCGGAGTATACCACGCTTCAGAAAATACACAATAGATGACTTCCAGTTTATCAAGGTGCTAGGAAAAGGCAGCTTTGGAAAGGTATGTCGAAGTTTATTTCATTCGATAGAACTTACAAGGCGAAAGCCGTATTTAGTGGTCTGTCCACCTGACTTCAGTTATGATGTCATCAGCTCGGGATATCAATCTCAGCCGTGCACCACAAAAATATAACTATATACTTTCTGGTAAATGATAAAGATATTGTTTGCGTGGTAGATTAAGCTATATTCTCCTTTTAGGAGGCCAAGATCCTAGTGAAAGGAACTATGAGCATGTGTGATCAAGTAGAAAAATTCATCTAAATTAAAATTTTAAATTATGTAGAATCTGTGGCTTTTGCGGCCATTTTGAAAATCTTCTAAATTTGAAGTTACATGGGCTTTCGAGCTGTTCCACCGAACCGTCTTAATTAAAGTGTAACCAGTTAAATGAACTTTAAAGTTTGATTATCGACAGGCCACTACGATAATGAGAACAAATGGCGCTAGCGTAGCTGGTTTTCCTTTGACATTAGTGACCCCCCCCCATCTTTAGTCTCCCCGTGACCACGGCTGCTGCAAAGCATCTGAAACGTCGGGCCGGAGTTAAAATCAATTTTAAATAAATTTAATCAAAAATAACTACTGTATGTATTTCGCGTTTTAAACCGTTAAAGTGTTTTATTTAAATGTGCACTACTCGCGTCAACTACAGACAGTATTTTATCAACAGGTTTAAATTTAAAATTCTTTATCAATTGCCCCCCATTACTATGCTTTCCCCGCCAGGGACAATCTACTGTTTCCTCGTGAATTGAATCCAAAATCTCTCGTGCTTAACTCAATGCTAGGCAAAACGTTTAACCAGTTAGAGACGGTGTTATTTAGTACTTAACATCATCTTAAGTTTTTTATGAGATAAACGGCAAATGTATGACACAAAGACCTTAACAGTTAACAATTGACAAGCAGGTATTGAGTGATATGAGCTATTATTTTAGCGTTGACCCAATTGCTTGTTTAGAGATGTTGCCAGCATTCATGGGCACATGTTTGACAACAAAAAATGTTGCATTTAAATTGTCTCGATGGAAAAGCTAAATAGATATTCATAATTATAAATACCTTATTAAATATCTTTGAAAACTAAAAATAAAATAAAATAAAACGGCAGTTATAACCGCCAATTTTGCAGCAATAAGTAGCAAATAAAACACGTTTAACGGTTTAAAACGTACCGCACCACCAGCAGTAGTTGCGGCGAGGCTGGAGACTAATGTTTATTGTATTCAATTTATACTTTTCTCATAATAACACGTTAATCGATTTATGTAAATCACTGTCGTAAATAACTGAATACGGAAAGCGTTTGTACATTATTTATACCCAAGTTAATAAACAAAAGCGAGTTGTAGCTTATTATTCTAGTAGTTACTAATCTGTACGTATGTAAGGTGTTAGAAGTGTTTCCTAAAATATGATATTCAGTAGATTATTTAAAGAGGAATCTCTCTTTCTTATTATCGTCTTTTAAAGCACACGCAACGGAACTTCCGGAACTCAAAGATAAATATTTATTCCACATTTTTCACTATTTCTTCGCTTCTTAGTCGTAGTGTGATGTTAAATAGCTTAAAGTCGATGAATGGTCTATTCAACACAAAATTTTCAATTCGTACCAGTAGTTCGCGAGATTTTGCACGTTCAAACAAACATACTCTTCAGATACTGTCTATACTTTACGCGAGTAGTACACATTTAAATAAAACACTTTAACGGTTTAAAACGCGAAAATAAAACACTTTAACGGTTTATAACGCGAAAATAAAACACTTTAACGGTTTAAAACGCGACAACTAAACTAAACTTTAACTATAGACAGTATCTAATTAACCAGTACGGGCTGGAAAATGCAAACAAAGTTCGATGTCGCGTTTTAAACCGTTAAAGTGGTTTATTTAAATACTCTTCAGCTTTAAATATTAGTATAGATACATATATATGAAAAGAAAAAAAAACGTATTACTTCTAGAACCTTCTTTTAATATTTAAATGAAAACTTCTTTGAAGCTATGCATTAGGATACACGCGAAACTGTCAACATAAAAATAAATGCGTTAAATGAAACAAGGGAATTTGCCAAGAAAAAAGATGCTGTTGGCTTGTAGATTAGAGATTGATGAGCGTAATGTATTTAGGTGTTAATTGATTACATAGCTTTCACGGAACTACAGACGCGTAATGTGTTTCGTGGAAACGAAAGATCGTCTACGGTTCTATGAATATTATATGGCTATAGGAATATCCAAGTCTACCCGCGTCACGCCCCGGCTTCGATCGGGTGCAATGCTGATACTAAATAGTAAATACTACACTACAGAAAAACGTTGTGTATAAAAATCTTGCGTATAAAAATCTATCTACTGTATTAAAAAACCGCATCAAAATCTGTTTCGTAATTTTAAAGATTTAAGCGTACATAGGGGCAGAAAAAGTGACTTTTTTCTACTATCTAGTGATGTGGCTGGCGTATTTAATTTCTCATTAAGTTTACTCCTCTGTGGAGAGAAAATAAAAATATAGCCCTATTAACTATTCGACGCAAAACCATGCTTGTCTTAATCATGTTGTCTTTTAAAAATAATTCATATATGATTAGTGTCTTGTGAGTGATGGTTAAGTTTGGTAGTAACATGCTATTGCTATTCTGTACTGTCTGTATAGTTAACGCGAGTTGTTTACATTAAAATAAAACATTTTTAACGGCTTTAAACTTGAAATGTATTAGTTACCTAACTACATACAATTTATCATCAGAAACGTCGGGCCGTAATTAAAATAAAATGTAAATAAACTTAACTAATACATTTCACGTTTCAAACCGTTAAAAGTGTTTTATTTCAATGTGTACCACTCGCGTAAACTACAGACAGTACAGATTAGCATAGCTTCTACGGACTACAGAATAGCTACTACCAAACTTACATACACTATACATTTTATGACAGAAGTCATTGTTTCAGTTTGATGAAAATACCTGCTCTCCTTCCACTTCGTTGAATCTCAAACTAAAGTAGCTTTTCCGTGTGAATTCTGACAAATACCTGTAACAAGAATAGATTTTATTTGGGTCATTGGACAGATCTCCTGCACTAAAATTCCTCTTATTTATGTGTCTCTAGAGTTAGGAAATGAGCACATTTATCATTTATTTGTATCCAAAATATGTAGCGTTACTACAATATAATTCTTGCATACCTTGCTTTGAAAATTGGTACAACACATCACATTTGTCACATGGAAATATAAGTTATTTAATGTGTAATATATTATTCTCACATGTTATTGCACACGTAGCGTTATTATAACTAAAAATATAAGTTGATTTCTATCTTTTGCTGTTATCAATTACAAAATAGTGGCCTACTTCATTATAACACCTCTCAGAACGCTATAGTTTTAGATTTAATCTCCGCCCGTCTTTATTCAATCTATATATTATTTTTTAATAACATATAGCTATATATAAGACCTGTAGCTAAATGGTTCAACGTGTGGCCTAGCATTGCGTTAAGCGCGAGAGGTCCTGGATTCGAAATTTGGGGAAACAATAGATTTTTCGGTCGGGCAGGGGACAGTAGTCTGATCAACAACTTCCTTGTAGAAAATTCTGTTTGCCCACACATAATATAAGCTTACTCAATCCTTTATGGCCTCAAAGAATCATTTAACTAAATGTACTTATTTAAAAGTATTGAATGCTGTATATTTTTTATTATAATTATAATGCATATTATTTTGTATATTACAATAATAATAGAGTGACAATAAACAAACACAACCACTGTTTATTAAAGCCAAGATAACATTTGCTAGTGGTACATATTAATAGGTTTATGGGTGGTGTTATGAATTTCGTGGGCGTATAACGCGTTTCAAATTTATTTCATAACGTGTAGAATGTTGTATTTCATGAGATTAGTGGTACTATTTTACTAAAGAGGACAATATGATTATCGTAAATACAACTGGGGGGCAATTCTCGGCGATAGAAGTCGCAAACTATCGGATTAGTAGAGCCGATCAAAGAATTGGCGTCGGTTTCTAGCCTAAGTGGCCTAAAGTTCCAAGACAACCATAATTTAAGAAGACCTCGGGAAATGTGAACGAAAATAACCATACTATAAAAAAGCTTATTTTATGCATGTTTATTTGTAAATAAAGAGCAAGACGGATTGCAAATAAGAAAATTCTTTGATAATCAACGTTGGTAGGAAACTAGTGATAAACATCGACGGAAATTAAATTATATCACATTTTTGAGAATACGCCGCTGGTGCGATGTCTGTCGAGCAACAAAATGTCAAATTATTTATAACGCTCTTCACGAAGCGTACGTTGAACTTAACCAATGATCGTTAGCGAAATTTTATAACCATTTTATATTACTTTTTCATGGCTTAATCAAAGGATATTACGACAGTTAGTTCTAATGTTTCCATAAACTGACCGCTTCCGTTATTCTTGTACTACAAATTGATTAGGGTACGTTAATATTTCTAAGGAAACATCAAAAGACGGCAAGGAAATATGAAGAATTATCCATAACTAATAGAGATAAGATTATTAGAATAGATTTTTTTATTTGGATTATTTTACCCACATTCCCTTTCTTTTTAATGATTTTATTAAATGCGCAGACAAACATTTTCTACCAATTGATTACAGTATAGATTTGTAACTCTAGTCCATCTCTTAACGTAATCGTAAATATTACGACAAACACATACGACACTAAAATAGATGTTTCAGTTGGGCGGGCTGGGGCGTTTCGAATCTTAACCAGGACAAATTAAACATAGCATCGTTGTGTTGCATTGTGTTCAACAAGGGTAATTCATTTTGCCCATACCTGCTGACACGTATGGCAAAATGCCACTTTTGCTCCGGTTCAGCTGTCATGTCAATCCGTTGCATTGGGCTATTCTGGGTTTTGACATCACTGTACTCTTGAACGTCAGACACCACGTGGAAGCTAACAATTAATTAATTACGACATCTCTGACATTAAGATGCGGTACAACGTCGATTGTTCCCACTGATTGAGGGGCGTGATATTCAAATAAAACACTTTAACGGTTAAAAAGGTGATATATATTAGTTCCGACGAAGTTGGTATTAGGCGAAAGTGGTTGGAACAGATGGCGCTAGCGTAGCAGTTTTTTTGACGTTAGAGACACCCTCCATTTTCAGTCGCAGCATGGCGGTTGCTGCAAAGCATCCGAAACGTCAGATCGTAGTTAAAATAATTTTCAAATAAGTTTAACTACTATATAGCGCGTTTTAAACCGTTAAAATGTTTTATTTAAAAGTGTACTACTCGCGTAAACCACAGACATCATATTCTCTAAGTATTGTCTGTAGAAATCTCAAAGTATTGTCTGTATTTACGTTAGTTGTAATATTTAAAATGTTGTACTTTTTTTTTATTAGTTTATGCACTCATTTAAATATTACAATTAACAGTTTAGAACGCGAAATATATTACAAGAACTGTCGTAGTTGAAGTTCTACTTACTGCAATAGTATTGTTTTTGATTGTACTTAATCTATACTAATATTATAAATGCGAAAGTAACTCTGTCTGTCTGGCTTTAACTCCGAAACTACTGAACTGATTTAAGTGAAATTTGGTACACAGATAATTTAGAGCCTGAGAAAGGAAAGCGTTGATAGGTAAAAAGGGGGTGAAAGTTTGTATTGTATATATTCGTGGTTTTTGAACCTAGAACAATATAATAAATATGCCTCAAACATATTTTTCTTACAATAATTGTTTTTTTAGGTCATGCTAGCTGAGTTGAGAGAAACAGAGTACTATTATGCGGTGAAGTGCTTGAAAAAAGATGTAGTCTTAGAAGACGATGACGTGGAGTGCACATTAATAGAAAGGAAGGTCTTGGCGCTGGGCACCAACCACCCTTACCTCTGTCATCTCTTCGCCACTTTTCAAACGGATGTAAGTATATAATCGTATGAGTGTAAAGTCGCATTATCCCTACGTGGGCCATAGAGCAAAAGCATTCGGCGTTCGTTGCACCAATGATTTATTATATTATTAGAATTAAAAATCTATTTGGATTAAAAAAATTAACGGCTAGGGCGGAGCTTGGCGCTCTAACCAATTGTGCTACCATGTCCTAGTCGTCATCGTCGAATTTTTTCAACCCTTTGATACATGAACATCTTGCGAAGTGGAATTTTAACCTTAAAAACTTAGATTACGATTGGGGAATGTTTAAAAGTTAAATAAAAAATGATTGTCACTTGATATGGAATCGTATAAAGTAGTGTAGAATATATATTTGAACCAATTTCTTTAAGTTAAACAACATAATTTTTCTGCAGTCACACCTCTTCTTCGTGATGGAGTACCTGAACGGTGGTGATCTCATGTTCCATATTCAGCAAAGCGGAAGATTTCAGGAGCCAAGAGCGCGATTTTACGCAGCAGAAATTGTTTCGGGGCTTAAATTTCTTCACAAAAGGGGAATTGTGTACAGGTAAAGGTTCTAGCTATAGAATTTTTTTACTTTGTACCTTGAAATTAGCCTAATGGAATACGAAACGATACTTCATACGATTATATTAGAGTTTAACACTTTCTCTGTTTCGTTGGTGTTATGATAGATATGTGAATTTATATATTTTTCTAAACATTTTGTCCTTTTGGAAATCCGGATATGTTCAGTCACGAAAAACCGACCAAAGATGAAGAAACCGCAAAGTTTAATCACGTTTCGGTTTTAGAGTGTGGATTCCCGAATATCCAAAGCCAAAATCTTGTTTAGATAGGGGCGGGGGGGGGGGGATATTTTACCTTCCATCAAGTGAACCACATGCTAGTTTTTCCTTCTCTATCTTAAAAAAAACTTACTTTTTATGACCCTATGTGGGAAATACAAATTAAGCCTTTTCATCTTGAACTCGGAGCGCGATAATGGGTTTTGGCATTTACGCATTGTTCGGATTTTTAACACTACTGAAATATATACATAATTTACTTTACAGAGATCTAAAGCTGGACAACATTTTATTAGACTTCGATGGTCATGTTCGTATTGCTGATTTCGGAATGTGTAAACTACAAATATATTTGGATAAGACTGCGGACACATTTTGTGGTACACCGGACTATATGGCGCCAGAGGTACTTTTAGAACTTTTATACACCACTTAAGAATTAGACCATCTTCTTTTAATGCTCTTCGACTGGCTCGTTGTTCTCTCGAGATTTCGTCAGGGTCATGAACCTCCGTCCACGGAAGAAAAAGCAGTAAAGATTAATCGGTTTTCGGTTTCAGTTTGTGGATTTCCGAATATCCAAAACGGAAAAAGTTTGACAGCGCATCTTGTTATGGGTGTTTCGTTTCACCTCCCATCGTATCCAATATCATTGAACAAATATTTACATGTATGTTGTCCTTCAATCATACCATAGACATATTCGAGCAGTTTTAAAAGTCTGAAGTCTGAACAGATTTCCTTTAATCATTTAACTGCTTTCTTTAAAAGAAAAATACTTTTCAGATAATCAAAGGCCTTAAATACAACCAAACGGTTGACTGGTGGTCGTTTGGGGTACTGTTGTATGAAATGCTGATTGGTCAGAGCCCGTTCAGCGGTTGTGATGAAGACGAGCTCTTCTGGTCGATTTGCAACGAAATGCCGTCCTACCCGCGCTTCTTATCTACGGAGAGTCTTAGCATATTGACTCGGGTAAGACTGTATTTCAACATATTATAAAAACGAATTCTTTTTCTAATATGTACAATGTATGTCGATCATCGAAACATAATCTTTGGTTTTTGAACGTGCATTAGATTATTAGTACATGTATGTATCAAATTTCTTTTTATTATTCATTTATTTTTGTACCTTTATACATTGTACATATATCATGAAAATCGTGTAGTGGTTTATTTATGTATTACTCGCAAAAATGTAACCTAATATTTAAACTAAATGTTACAATTTACTTAACTAATTAACAAACTAACCCATTAAAATGATGTTCTACAGCTGCTAGACAAAGATGCGCGTACGAGGCTGGGTGGGGCGGAATGTATGCATGGGGATATTCGTGACCAGCCTTTCTTCCACGAGATACATTGGGAGAAGCTGGAGAGAAGGGAGCTCGACGCTCCGTTTAAGCCAAGAGTGGTAAGTAAAATATTAAGGCGTGAAGGTAGTTTTAAAACATTGATTTGAAACTACCGTTTACATCTAGTATAAAAAATATATATATTATCACATGTTATTGCACACGATGGCATTATATAAATTTAAGAATCTATTTAGATTGTTAATAATCCTTGAAGCGACATGGAGGGTGTCTTTATCTGGATACCAATTACCGGCGGAACAAATGGCGCTAGCGTAGCAGTTTTTACTTTAATATTAGAGACACCCTCCATCTTTACTCTCCCCGTGACCAGGGCTACTGCAAAGCATCCCAAACGTCTAGCCACAGTCTAAATAAGTTTAACTAATATATATCGCGTTTTATACCGTTTAAGTGTTTTATTTAAATTGGGTATAACATCTTCTTTCTGCATTTCCAGCGACATCCATTAGATACGCAGTATTTCGATCGCGCCTTTACCGGAGAGAAGCCTCGGCTGACCGCTGTCGAGCCACAAGTGCTGAGGTCAATGGATCAAGAACCCTTCAGAGGTTTCTCATACACGAACCCTAATGCTACTGATCGATGAAAACTGTTTTGGTGAACCAATCTTTATTATTCACGTCACGAGGTTTATGAAGAGTGTAGTGGAGAATTTTGTGAAGAAGTTTTGAATATAAATGCAAAATTCACAGCACTTCATTTCGATTGGGGATTCGACCTTTGAACCCAGATATGGATAGACTTGCAAGAAAAACAGATTATTTTCGATAGTCCTTACCTTCCCTAATTTCTAGTTAGGGGAAGCTTATTCAGTTATTTAAGTCACAAAAAACCCTCTCATTGGATTGTAAGGGGTTTTCGGCGTTTGTATTGTAATATTGTTAAATGTTTATAAAATTTATGGAGGTAGAATTGATTAATCATACGAACGATTCGAAAACTTGGTTATTTAATCCTAACCTTATTGTATTTGTAAATATATGAAGATCTAATACCTAAAAGTCCTTCTCTATCGTATCTCTGTTAATATTTAAAAATATTAGCGCTATATATTTTAGGTTTTAAATAATTTCTTTAGTTTGAAAAGGTCTTGTTGAAGTGAAATACATTTAAACATATCATTTTAGTCACTTTGTGTCTGGTACACAAATGTTATTGTAAAAAAATTATACTTAAGCGTGTTAATCAAAGTATCTTTGTAGGTTAAATAAAAAAAGGGACAAGAAGTGTATATATATATATCAATTTTTGCTATAGAGTATTTACTTTTAGAAATTGATGTTTTATCGTGATCGTTTACCTTGACATCTCCCAGGGATGCATAGACTTATTAAAACTAGAACCAGGACTCAAAAACTGATGGGGGGCGCCAATCGTATAGGTAATTAAAGTTTTCTTTCGTTTGAGTATTATTTTTGCCGTCGGCAGCCTACCAGTATGCAACCGGCGGCCGCGGTCTGTGCATTTCTGTCCTAGAGGTATTCCATCAGACAACAAGTGTTACTAAAATACAACTTAAATTTAAATGGCTGGTATCGCAGGTCCCGAGGCCTTAATCTATATGCAGCATACAAAGTAGTAACATTAAAGATTGTTGATAGGAACGCGCAATTGACAGAGTTCAAGCTTGTGCGTCGAAATCAAATAACAATTCTTTTCTCTTTTCAATAATTATGTTCTCAGGTTATCATTATATTTATAGGTTATTGTTATTGAATCAAACGTTGTTAGCAAGTATTATCAATAAATAATTAATAAACGGCCTTTTCGTTTTCCTTCCAGAGAGTACACATTTATTTGATAAAAAAAGAGAGTTAGGTGAAAAAGACAAATGCAACGACAGCTTTTAGTCGAAAAGTAAAATACTAACTCGGCCATTAGTTTGCACCAGTCTTTGTTTCAACACATAAAAAAGGTATCCCCATGCATGACGGTGCTTTCTTGAATTTTTTTAGGACAGATAAGCTCGGGGTTTACCTGATGGAGGGTAAAATACTCCAGCCAAATAACATCTGAACAAGATTTATTTGGACTTGAAGACCTATTTTGGGTTTGCATATTGAAAATCTGAAGTCGAAACGCAATTAATTCATCTGTGATCCAAACGGAATATCGATATTTTATTTTTATTGTTGCCTTACATGTTTCCGAAGAGTAATAAATTGATTAGAAGCATGTTGGACCCAATGAAGAACAAAATAACCCGTTGACGGGTTAATCAACGGGTTATTTTGTTACATACATTACTACTGTTACTCGTAGATATCAACTTTAACATGCCCGTCAAATAATAAGCTGTAATTTAACATCTAAATCGAGCTTTTGGCCTTTGAATTGTTTTTGCACGAAAAACGCGACATACATCGCGTTTAAAAGCACAAAAGTTTAAACACAAAGCGGCAACTCTATTCCCTCTAAACAAATTCTCCTAATGACAGGATAATAACCCCTATAGAGTAGAGATTGGATAGAGATAGTACAGTCTGTAGCGTGAAGGAAAACAACATATTATATACAAATGTGACTTTAATGCTTACATTTATTCTTATTACAGTTAGAAGTACATAAAATACGATTTTTATTTAAAATATTGTTGATCGAAGTAGGAAAGACGAATTTTAGCTAGCTTATCTCCGATTGCAGCAAGTATGATGTGTGTTTGTTTACCCTGCCACACTTCTAAAGCATTTATTGGCTCATTATAGTCCAATTGCATCTTCTTTTTTGGCTTCATTTTCATTTGATTTAAATCTGCGTGGTCGTGTACTTCAAGCTGTAACCAAAATTAATCACAATTATGATTTTAGTGTTAAAAACAAACATATAAATAAAACAGCTACTGTGACCTACTGTTGGCCGAATTGCTGAATTATTGTACTCCTGATATATGTCTGTTGATGTTTATTTTAGGCCACAAATGGACAATACTTATTAAAAAAAAATTATATATATAGACATTGTGATGTCTGTTTCGCTGTAGGAAACTATGATTATTACTAATTTAACCGCCAGCAAGTATTTGCAGGGAATCTTATGTGCAATGAAAAATATTACTAAACTCTTACCAGGCCATCAACATATCCAAGAAGCAAGTAATTACCATGTCGCGTGGCTGCTGTTAGTCTAGGAATGACGAAGGTCAACACATCCGTGTCATGTAACTGACGTACTTGTGTAGCACTTTTGCCTGCAGCATAAAAATAAACTTAAAAAAAGCATGAACATTATAAAAAATTTAACTAAAGAAAATCTATTCAACTTCAGCATAAATTAGTAACAATTTTGCATGAATCGAGGTCCGTTCGGGGAGCTGTTACTATTTACGGCGGGCTCGTTGGGGCAATGGTATTAGTAAATAGCTAATCCGACATGTTTCAAATCAATTGATAAATTTTCTGAAATATGTTGGACTTGAAGAAGCCGTTCAGTTTAATCGCGTTTCGGTTTCAGCTGCGGAATTGCGAATAGCCAAAGCCAAGATATTTCGACGGCGCATCTTGATTAGATGTAGCATCGCTAGGTTATTCGCCTACCATCAAGTGACCCTATGCTTGTCTCTCGATCATAAAAAATATGAGATCAAACCGTACTTCCATAAACTGCTGTGAACCTGTCAAGCCAGCACAGCACCGAATCGGCAAGGCCTGGCATACTCCAATGGCTTTCCAGGCGGTAATCTTGCCCCACTATAGCATACACACATCCAGCGTTTGTAAACAAATATGGTTTATTGTGGTATACTACAAGACCGATATTGGAATGTGTATTGTAGAATTTGCATACGAATGAACTGTCAATCCAGTTGATCCGTTCGATAGTTCGATCGCTTTTCATGCACCAACAGAGATCATTGTGAACGAGTCTACAACAAAGTAAAACCACAAAACTTAACACCTAGTGTTAATAGGATTAGCGTTTAAAGAACCATATTTCATAGCATTTGCATGGCTTAAGAGCCATTACGCACTGTCAACCAGTCGCCGGCGACTGTCCCTCGGCGACCAAGGTGTGAGTCGCCACTACGCGGTGACCAAGTGCGTAAGGGCACATTTAAATTTTAAACCATAGCAACTTACAGTCGCCAGCGACTGTAAGTTGCTGGGCCGGCGACTGATCGTCAGTGTGTAATAGCTATTAATATCCATAATTCTTCATGGATTATTCTTTAATTATTCATCTGACGCCTGAGACGAAACTGAGACTTTGGACGTCTAGACTGACATGCATTGGGTTCACATGATGGGAGCTAAAATAGGACAGAAATAAAACATATAAGCAGATGTGCTGTGGACCTATTCCGGCTTTGGACATATTGTAACATATCAAGTCTTCAATCAAGGGAAACTAAATTTGACTTTACTTATTGGGTTTTCCACGCAATATATCTTAAGTCCTTACAGCGAATTTTCACAAAATAGGTAATCCTCGATTTTTTGTTTTCCATTGCAATCGCTAATAGAAACCTTGACTTCCTCATGATTCATCTTGTCCACTAGAACTATCAAATGCGAAGTCTCATAGTAGTCAACAACTGTGTACAAAGAAATATAATATCAATTTTTGCTACATATAAATATCTTCATTTTACTGTAAAATAAAATGGTCCAACTGTTTTATAGATCCTCTTGTTAAACTTTAATAAATATGAAAAAATAATACAATTTGGGATTGATGGGACAAATTACTAAACTCAATGCTTTTATCCATTGAGCTACGGCAAAACATTTTAACTTTTTGTTAAATGATTTTAAATTAACTCACCCTTTTTATTCACCGTCTTCAAAATTGCAAAGTCAAAAGGATTTAATACTTTTACTGAATTCTCTAGTACTAAAATCAGTTTGTCTGGAACAATTTAGTTAGTTGACAAAATATATCTACCAATATAACTTTCTGGTTTAGCATTTTGATGGAATGATTCCACCAGTGTTATTTGATACCACGAAACTTTCTGGTATGGTGATATTATTGATCGTATTTATCGAAAAATACCCAACAACCCAGAGTGGTAAGCTAAAGTTTAGTAGCAAGCACTAACAGGATTTTAGGAGCCTAAAAAATTATAGCATTGAGAACTTGGCTTGTATACAAGTATCATACAGTTTTTTACTCTCCACCTAGAGCTTTCGACTACTTTAATTCATTCTTAAGAAACATTCTTTATACACCTACTTAAAAAATCCTCCATAAGACTATAGAAACACAAAACAAGAAATCTAATATTAGTTCTTAAGTCTTAGAAAAACTAAAAGGTATTTTTGTTCAAGTAATTTTGCTAACCTTTATTGACATGAATCTTTTTACATGCAAAGTCATAATATGCTATTTCATATTCAGCTGATGATATAATATGTTCCCATATTATATGATTTAGGTAAATAGCTTTAGGATTAAATAAAACAGATCGCTCCTTTATGGACCTAGCACAATCAAAAATAGTTTCATTTACTAAGTTTTTCCATAATCGGTAATGCTGAAATAAAAGTAAATGGTCTAATATCATAGTTTGTAATAATTATTTCAAAAATAAATAAAAAGTTATCACAAAAATTTACATTACAATAATATACGACCGCGTCCTGCCATGCCTGGTTTATTTTAAAGCAAGTGTGTATGTCTTTGTAAGGTAATTTTTGAAAAATTTTAATTAATATATCGAAGGAGCAATTTCCCCAATTGGTATACGTGGTGTCACCTCTTTTACGAGACATTTTTTAAAGAATAACTGATAACGCTTGATAAAACAGATGTCACATATATAGTGCCACATTAGGACTCATCAAAGTTTTAAAAGGAGATTTTATTATTAAATGAATGGCATTAACAAATTAATAAACAGTGAAATTGTCACTGGAGATGAATTGTCACAAAAAATATGATTGGAGCAGTGTCTACTGTCATTATCAAGTTGTCACTGTCAATTGACAAGATCAAAACGTCACTTATAAGTTTTGACGTATTGGGACCTAAAGCTATTTAATGTACACAAAATTTAACCTAAAATCTGAATCTGATGATATTTCGTAATATATTTACGTATTTACCTGTTGAACTTATTCAGCTCAGCTTTGTTTAACTAGATTTTACTTTAAGTAGCTGTTGACATGAATAAAATTGGTTGTTATCTCTAAATGTGAAAAATATGATATTGCTTACAATTTGAGGTGCCTTTAGCTTTGATATTTTAAGAAATAAAAACATCAACAATTTGTTTATATATCCAAAATGGTAAGTTACTTATTTTACAATGTTAGACACTAATTATTAGTTACAAAAATGTGTTGATATTTGTCTATTTTTACACTTTGTAACATGCTGAGATTATTCTATTAATTCAGTAACAAGTAACTTTTTTGCACTATTATAAGTACCTTTTCAGAGTGTTTGTAAGTTTGTTCATTTATACTAATTTGTTACTCATATGTTTTCCTCTTACAGGCCCGAAATGCAGAAAAGGCTATGTAAGTAACTTCTCTTAAAAAGCATCACTATAAAACATACTTTTATAGTGATGCTTTTTTACTACATATTATTGTTGCTCTAGAAGGGCTTTAGAGTAGTAGTGATAGGGTGACAAGCTCAGGGATAGTTAGTGGAGTAGGGCTCTGCTCCCTTTATAACCTATTTGAATTCCATCTCATATTGGGTTGTTAATAGTAGATGTCATTGATATATTAATATGCAGCAATATTTCTCAGAGTGATATGCCCTATAGGAGCACTGCCACATTGCCTGGGGTATTAGTAGCCTTAACATCGGCACTGTCAATGATATAATATATACACTTTTATAGATATCTGAACTGGTTATTACTATTTATGTCACTAACAGCCTAAGCTGATGCATATAAATTATAATTTCTTGAAGAATGAGGTTTTTGAACGTAAGTGAAGGAGCTGTGACAATTTCTTTGGGGAGTTGGTTCCAATTGCATTCTACTTTATTTGGAAAGAAATTACCTGAGTAATAATTATTTATTTGTGTCCCTGCCAATATCATGCTGATTTAGTGATTGCATTTAAAAGCCTTTATAAATTAAGTAACGAATACAACATTACTGGAATTTTGCAAATAAACATTTCTCTTTTTCCAGGACCACTTTAGCTCGATGGAGGGCAGCACAGGTCCAAGAAGCAGGTGGCCAGAGAGAGCGACGTCCCTACCTTGCATCAGAATGCAATGATTTACCACAAGCTGAAAAATGGAGATTGCAAATTGTGAGAGAAATTGCTAAGAAAGTTGCTCAAATACAAAATGGTAACTATATTAAATTTTATATATCTTGAACAATGTATGGCTGAAGCACTTCAAAGTGTTAAATATTAGTATTTAATGCTTTACCTGAAATGATATAAAGAATATCATTCCAGAAAGTGTCTTTTGTTTCATACAATACACTTGCTAAATTAATCTTCTTTGTTTTACCCTTTATCTTTTTAAACATATTCTATACCTAACCTTTATACTCAGCTCTATTTTTTACAGTGTTACTATACTAAAATATGTCATTTTTAAAACAATGCAACTGACTGCTCTATTTATATTCCAAAACAGAATTCAAAACCATGTGGCCATGGCTAATTTTCTTAAATAGTAAAGATTTTATTGAAATTTTATCTTTTTAAAATTATGTAGTTAGTATTTAGATATTTTTATAAAAAATGGATTCAATAAATACTGATGAAGCTAAGTCACCATTCATATCAACACCGCGTGAGAGTGTGAAGTCTCAAAATGGTTCAATTATGAAATCCCAAAACCAATCAAAAATTGAAGTACCTATATCAGCAGTTGTTACTAAACGTGGATCCCCTTCGCAATATTCTCCGATAAGTGCGAAAAGCAATCCTGTCGACAAGTTAAATTCACCATCATCAAATAAAAGCACTCCTCAGACGTCAAACAAAAGCGAAGGTCGGCAAAGTATACTGCAGAGGTCTCCAAGCCCACAAAGTCCTAAAAGTGTAAGCCTTAATATATCAGGTCTTCAAGATAATGCTAATATCGTAGCTGACTTAAAAACAAATCTTCAGCATGAATATCCTAATGAAACATTACCTTATCATTCTGATCAAGAAGGCTTAGAAATCCCTGTTATCAGCAATATTGACAAAATAGCGAACATGACGAGGAACTTAACAAGTGAAGCAAACGCCTTAAGGGAGTCTATAAAGAGTTTGAGCGATGATATAAACAAAACGCAACAAGAACTCTCTACCGACGATAAAGAAGACGTTAATTTTCCCTATCACTTGTTTCTAATTGAACTGATTATAAACAAAATTCACATGAAGTGTGACTGCTTTGAATTGGATTACAACAATCTGGTGATAGCTGCTTCCTTCCTTGGGAAGCAACGTATTGTTCTATACGATACGTCCTATGGAAAAGTACTTGATTTCGGCCACTTGAATGTCGGAAAATCCATATTATTCGCTATGACATATGACAAAATATGTAACATTAAAGAATTTATCATAAAACTGCAACTGTCAAAGCAACCACCTTGCTCTAGTTGTGTTACTAAAATTGCTGAAACAAATATGGACTACACAAAAGATTTTATCGAGCTAAGAGAAGAATTATGTGCCAAGTGGACAAAAGAACAACCTAACGATAACATAATATGCACAACTACAACGCCTCTTTCGAAACAAATGTTTCATTTATTTTGTGGGGATACCGAATATAGCGAATCAATTGGAATGATAGAAATAACAACTAGAATGTCTTTTCTCGGCAAAGAGATTACAACAGCGTTCAGTGCTTCATCGAAGTCTCAAGGCACATCGTATTTAAGAAAGGAAGATCACGGAATGTCTATGTATGCGTGTCAAAATGTGGAAATCGATTGCCAGGGGAAAGTATTATTAGATGAAGATGTTTTGACGAGACGAGAGGTACAACGTAGTTTACACACGATGTCTTCCCATAGGGAAGCTAGTCCCATGTCACATTTATCCAGCGTTTCACCAGCGTCCACTCGAGGCTATGGTGTCCAAAGCGCATATCAATATGAAGGTGAGGGTAAAACAATTAAACCTGTAAACTGTGAAATTTATCACACCTAACAAATCATTATGTTTTAGATGGTCCTAAAAAGTACGATGAAATATTTACAAAAGTTAACTCCAACGAGTTAAAGATTAGAGTCCCGAAGAGCACTAAAGTCGAAAGAATGGGCAAATATGACAGGACTCAAGAGTTATGTACCTGCGAAGAAACTCCGTACAATACTGGAGATCAAATACAATTTCAATTACCTAAAGATAAAACGTCCAATACATACACATCTAACCTCCTGTATACTCATAAAACTTATTTCGATAAACGTCAAGATAATAAGGAGAAGAAAATCATAAATATTACACCCACGAATTGCCCAGTGCCAGTTGATATGGTGAAGCAAATGCATCCACAGAAAGATGTTTTCATACTAAAAATTGGAAAAAAATTAGAGACGAAAGACAAAAAGACCGATTTGGAAATAGAACTTGTTACTCCAAAAGTTCCCATTCAGAGATCGGTTATTAATAACAACAATTCCTCTCAGCAGTGTAGTTCGAGTGAGGTTAAGAGTAAACCTTCAAAATCAAACGTCAAAAAGAATAAAAAGAAGAAAGGCAAAAGTAAAACGGATTTGAAGAAGAAAAGGAGCAAAAGCAAGAGTTCAAAGAAATCCAAGAAGAGCAAGAAGTGAAAGTTTACTCTGATTTTGTTTTTCGAAAAAAATACAATCTAATTAATGAATGTTACGTTTCTTTTCAATGGGGTTTTGTGAAAACCTACTTTTTGACATAAGCTGTTTTTGAAAATTTTCATTGTATAAGCTTTTCCGTCATTTCATTTTACCGTTTTGAGAATACATGTGTGATCTTCATTGACATGAATTTTGGAAACGGTTGTTTAAGCTGCTACATTCTTTAACCCCCCCCCCCCCCCCCCTTTATTTATAAAAGGCGAATTTACCCCACACACTCTTTAAAATAATGTATATTTTGCAGCGGGTTTGGGAGAATTTCGAATTCGCGATCTAAATGACGAGATAAACAAGTTAATGAGAGAGAAGCGGCATTGGGAAGTGCAGATTAAGTCGCTTGGTGGGCCCGACCATGCTCGCGTCGGGCCGCGAATGCTGGATCAGGACGGTAAAGAGGTTCCCGGTAACAGAGGTTACAAGTATTTTGGCGCAGCAAAGGATCTACCAGGTAACGTTAATTATCATAACAAATTATGTGCATTTAGTGTTAAAGCAAATTGATTAAGACCCATACAAGTTGTATTTTAACCAAATGTAAAAATAGTTATATTACGTAACGGCATTGCTATTAGGGAAGGTCGTGCTGAACAATACGTCATAAAATATCGGTTTTTTTTTTATGCCGCGCAGGAGTTCGTGAGTTATTTGAGCAGGAACCGCCGCCCCCACCCCGACGTACGCGCGCTGACCTCATGAGAGATGTCGACGCCGACTATTATGGATACAGGGATGACGATGACGGCATACTTATACCACTGGAACAAGAAGCTGAGAAAGATGGTACGCTGGTTTTTTTAATGATATTGGCGGACAGACATCGCTATATTATGGAATTACCTACACAAAAAAGTTCATGATTATCTCAGGACTTTTAAAAGAATGTTAAAATGGAACGTAAAGTTAAATAATATTTAAAAAATTTCAGCCATAGCCAGCGCAGTTGAGGAATGGAAAAGCAATAAAGAACAGAACGCAGAAGATAACTCACCGGAGGAAGAGAATATTTATCCGGAAGACGTAAGTTTTTTAAACCAACGAAATAAATTTCTAATAATAAAAATATTTAAAAAAAAAGAGAATCTTGATACTAATATAATGTTTTTTTTTTAATTAATTAATTGTACAATGTACATACAGCCTGATGACAAGAGAATAGAAGATGATTCCGAAGGTGAAAAGCCGGTATCGCACGTAGCTGTTCCCTCGCAGAAGGACGTAGAGGAGGCACTACTCCGTCGGAAGAAACAGGAACTCCTCGAAAAGTACGGCTGTATGGAAGTCAAAATTGAAGGAAGCTGACCAGAGACACGGGATTAGATTAATAAATTTCTTATTAATATATACTTGGTTTTTAATTCGTCACAGTCACAAAGGCAAACTTAAACTCTAATTGACAGCAGAGATATTCTATTTAATAACTACTGTTTTCAAAGTTATTTTTTTACTTACTTCTTATTGTAATAAATGTTGGTAAACTTATAAATAAATAAAATGAGTTTCTGTTATTGTTATATAAATGTAATGTTAAGCTTCACACACAAAAAAATCATAAATGCATTACTTGTGTCGTTATTATGTAGTGCAGCAGTAGCCTTAGTAAAAATATAACTTTCATTCATTTATTAGCAGAATTTAGATGTTCCCTGTTATTTTTTTAAGCCTCTAAATTCTTGAACAAACTTGACAATTAATTCTCTAGGCCGAGCAGCAAAAGGGACCGCTGTGGACGCCGGTTCGAGACCGGCTGCGCTTCGAATTTAAATCGATTTTTAAGCCCCAAAAATATTAAAATTTACAAACAGAACTTTAACTTATGAATTGAACACACCGAGACAGTAAAATGCTTATTCAAACTGGTAATTATTTGTAAGAAATAGCATGAGACCGTTCGACGTTTAAATATTGTTTCTCTACTCAAGGAAAAACACATTGGTAAGAGAATTCAAGTTTAATTGGTGCCCAATTATTATTTAGTAGTCTCTTACAATAGCTTATTTATAATAAAACAATAACTTCAGAATACCGTATATTTCATTTGAACAACTTTGTTATTTATATAGTCCATAAAAGCAAAATATACACAGATCAAAAATACCACATGCGTATTCTTAGCTTATTCTATCTGCCTGTTCAGGTCTTTTATATACCTTAAATTCAAAGGCCTTTACAAGCAAAACTAACTCTAGGATAAACTGCACTGTCGCCATGTTGAATTAATGAAATTCATAGTTTTATTTAGATAAGCGATGGAATGGGCTATAACGACAATTCTTAAAAATGTTCAAATTAGCGATGCTTCAGAGAAATGTGGAGCAGCTATATCAAATTTTACGTGTCAATGTTATGGTAGTTAAGCACGGTTTAATTTATAATTAGACGTTGTTATTCTTAAACGTCCGTTAATAGAACGATTGAAAGAACCTACCCTAAATGGAATACGGTTTCTTTGCTGCATAATGTGAGTAACATGGTACAACGCGAAATTTGCAGGCCTAGTGAGCTTAAATAAATTACTTATAACTGTTTCCAACACGAAATATATAAGTTAAAATATTTACAGTTTATTTATTTACGTTTCGAATGCTTTTCAGTAGCCGTGGTCACTGAAGATGGAGTGAGCTAGCTAGCGCCCTCTATTTCGTCGTAGTTCGTATTTGGAGAACCGTACTTCAGGAAAAATTGTTAACTTATATATTTTGCATTTTAAATCCTTAAGTGTTTTATTTAAAGAATTGCATTTTCGTCTAATCGATAAATTTTGTAGTAATCCGTATGTAGACCGTTGTTAAAAGCTAAGCAGAACGTCTGGTTAAAAGTTAAATAAATAAACTGATATAGATTGTGTTTATATTTGATTTTATAACATTGAATATCGTTGTGACCTATCACACAAATACTCCTCGCGTAACTTTAAGAACTTCGGAATGTACAAAATTCAATATTAAGCTCAAGATGTTGACAAGATCAATATAATTATATCCACTACAAAATAATACTTTATCATTGCGAATCATAACTGGGAAACATACTAACTACATTATAAACCATATATGTCCATTCGATTTTTTCTTTGCATTAATTGCTAACATAATTACGTTACACGTGAAAAGGGGGAAGGGTATCGGATTTGTTAAGATGTCGTTTGTTCATTTTGTATACGAAAAAATATATAATACATAATGTTGCGATGTAACATAATATTAGTGGGCATACAAAAAAATATATAAACTTCGTGTGGCGTACTCTTAAGCAAAAAGTATGCACCGTCTATAAATTAAAGTCGAGACAAAATAATAATTAAGCATATAAGAATAAACTTAGATTACATTTAATTAGAAATTAAACAATAATATAACCAATTACTCAAACACAGTCTAGACGTAAGTACCAAGTAAAATGTATCCTATATATTTATCTAATTATAAGAGTTGCCTATTGGCCTATACATTATATCTCCAACTACAAAAACTGGATAGATTCATATTATCTTATTAATTACAAAATATATATAGTTTTTAGCTAAACCAATAAATCTACATTCAAGCCTGTTTGAATTATTATTTGGAGCGAACTTCTACTAATTACGTATTTTATTTAAAGATGAGTATATTTTTCTCGTGATGTTACTATTAACAGCTAGGAAATGCAAAAATAATTTAAATAAATACTTTCTTAGAATTGCATCACAATATACAAATACGAGGTCATTTTCAAACGAATTACAAAAAATACAGAAGCAGCTACAAAGAAACAAGCACTACTATAAAAATATTTACATAAAGCATTAATCCTAAATGTATTAAGACTTTTTTCATTAGTTGCCAATATAACGATTATTAAACATGTCATTTCAGTACAGTGACATGAAAAGGATACGATATTGTTGTCCTGCTCATTTCTGACAGTAATGATAAATGCATGTGTCTTAGAATTGGCTATTTGACACTCATTTTTAAATTATTGTATAATATTATGTATTTTAGTAGGATGGAAAATTAGGAGGAAAAATTATCTTTTTCTATAAATATTTATTTTTGTTGGTTAGCTATGACACTATTGAAAAAAAAATTTAACGCCTAATTATATATCATATTCAACACATTGTATTTTTTTTATTGACAATGGTCAAATAGCCAATCGGGTTATAAGTTTGATAACTAACATGGATCATTAAGACTGGAACAAGTTCTGTTGCTTGGTATCATTCTCGAATTCACTCCACGCGTTGTTTAGCTCCATAAATATCATTTTTGCTATGTTCTCGTTTGGTGTTCCCATTTGCTGTAAGCAAAATCATTTTTATATATACTATATTACATAGTGAGGAGATGAGAGTGAAGTGTTAAAGTGTTGGTGATACAATATGACTAAACTATTAAAGCTATGGAGGATACGTTCTCATGAAGGTCCTGTTCTTTTAGTTGTTGTACCTCCTTTTCAATTCTTTAATAAAAGGCATTTTGTATCCCAAGTCCTGTCTCGTGTCCGATTTTATTAATCCAAAAAGCTTTTTAAATTTATATAGTGACATCATGTGCAAAACCACGTGGAAATATTAAAAGTTTTCAAATGTAAAACTGTAATTTCAGCTACAATGATTTCTAAAGCTGCAAAGAATTGAATTGAACCTCAATATATAAGTGTTAAGGTTGAAGTCACATTGCGCCAAGTGTATGTATCATTGTTGAGAAAATTCGGCAATGACATGTAGGACACGGTGGCTCAATTGATTAGAGCAGGAGTACGGATCGCTATGCAAGTCGGTTCATGCCCCATCCATGCCGCACATTTTTTTCAATCTACTTTTAATTTACCTTGTCGGGATGGACAGCCAGACAAGCCTTCCTATAGTTCCGCTTAACATCTGCCGGCGTAACTAGCTGCGACATGTCACACCTGTTCCATCTACAGTCCTCCCACACTACAGTGTGTAGTGAACAGAGCAGTGCTCGTATATTCGCCTTCTTGCCTTCCGTCTAATAAAAGAGAGATCAAAATATTTTTATGTATTTTTTCTTACTTGGCACACCACACAAACAAATGTGGGTAATTTCAAACCATAGAGAACTAGTAAGGGTGGTTTGCCACGACGTTTTCAATATTCCTATATTTTATGGTAAGATTTTTTAGAAAATTTCTAAGTATGTTAGAAAAGTTAAAAAAACAACATGTCGAATTGAATTTAGTAATAATAAACAAGAAACGTATTGCCCCAGCGGTATATCTAAGTATGTAGAATTGAAATGAATTCATATAAAAAGATTATTTAATTAATAAAATTTAACCTTAAAAACAAAAAAAGATCCAGTAGATCCAGCTGTCATAAACTAACCCAATCATGTATTTTGAGTTTCTCCGGATCCATTTCCTTAACCAGTTCCTCTTTCCTCATAGCGTTCATCGTTTTTGGTCCGGTCTCACGCTTCGCAAAGTCATACCCTTGGCTGCCCAGTAGATCTCCAAAGACATCTGCTGGCTTTTTCACCTTCTCCTCTGCCGGAGGCTTAGGAGCGTCGAAATGACTGCGACTGAAAACATAAGTAAATTTTAAAGTTTTTCATACACTTTCATCTCTATATCATATTGTACTGTAATTAAATTATATTATTTTTGATAAGTTTACTTTCTTACTATAACTTTCAAAAAATAACACACCAATAGTTTCATTAACTTTATATAAAATAATAAAATGATTATTTATTTTAATGAAAGGCAACAGTAATTTTACCAATCTGTTTTGTTATTACAATATAAATAATATAGGACTAGTTTAGTTCGTTATTTAATTGGATAAAGATTTATATGACGCTAATTTGTTACTTAACTAGAAATATCTTTGCTATGCCACATTTCCTATTGCGTGAAGAAGAGATCCTGGGTTCAACTTTCCGGGAAACAATGATTTTGTTAGGGCACACCATTAAAGCCGTAAATAAAAGCATCAATAAAACCAGACACAGTCACGAAGAGACCGGACTTTATACAACTATTACATAATATATGGAAAGAAGTGGTACCTGTAGTCTGGTTGTTGGGGCGTGTGCGCTCTATGCGAGGGCGTGTGTGCCGGGGACGCCCTTGGGGTATTCATGGGCGAAGGTCCAACGTTCGTGGCAAACGCACCAACATTACTTGCCGCAGTTGGAATATTGGTTACGTTGGGCATAGCTGGAGCAGCATTTGTAGTGTTGGATGCAGCATTCAGGCCAGTCCCCAAAGATCCGAGATCAGCGAAGGGGTCACCTCTGGCTTGTGGTTGTGCTTTTTCTAGTGGTACACTTTGAGATCGACCTAAAATATAATTGTAATGTAAATATTATAAAAAAAAAACAAAGAAAATCTACTCTATAAGAAAAAATTTACTTTTGATGCACTTGCGGGCATTATATAAATTAAAAATCGTTTCTAGATTGTAATAATTTTACGATACGGGTAGTTCTGCTGTTGCTTTAAACAACTTGAGCAACCGTGTCCGTCAAATTCAAACTTAAAACTAGATTGGTTAGTAGAGCAACAGCAGGAAACGTAGTGGATGCCGGTTTTAGTCCCTAACCCCTACCGTTAATTAGAACTTCTTAAGAAATCCATTAAAATACCTTCTTCCTTAATAAGTTGTGGTGTTAAAAGCGGTTCCTGTTTCGGTAGTGGGTCATTCAAACCAAATGGATCAAAGTTGAGAGGATCACTCGAGTTGACATTGGCTGGTGCCACATTAGCTGGAGGTGGCGGTAGATCCCCAAATATATTTTCGGAAAATGGCTGAAAAATTAAAATTGATTTAATCAAACGTATAGATACGATTAAGTTAATTAATATTTATAGAGAAAGATAACGAAATCGGTGATACTCCGTAATCATACCACTGGATCGTTATTTTAAACAGTAATTAACACGCCAAAATAGGTAATAGAGAATAAGTAAAGTCTCGGTGCGCTCCGTGGGGCATGGGGTGAACCAATTTCTGTCTCCGTTTCACGTAGTTTATTAGACTTATGTGTTCTAGCCGAACGGAAAAATGTATTGCTACCCTGAGATTCGAACCCAGGATCTCTCGCGCTTAACGCAATGCCAGGCAAACATTTAGCTAAAAAAAATACCTGTGGGTTATCCTCAATTTTTTTGCTTAAGAAATCACCGAATGATTCCTCCGCCGGTTTCTCCATCATACCGAAGAAGTCAAATGAATCTTGGCTCTTCAATTTCTCCTGAGGCTTCGGTTCTTCTTCCTGTTTAGAGAGATTGAAGAAGTTTGTTTCTGTGGTCGGCACTTGTGCAGGTCGCGGGGGTCTTTGCGGGGATGGCGGTGCGGGGCGAAGCGGTTTTTCGGCTTCTCTTGGTGGATAGTCAGCTGTAACTGTTAACGAAAGTTTGGAATAAGGATAATTTCTTATTAATTATATGTAACTTATTATATGTTATCATAATTGGTTGCTATGATTGAAATGATGTGAGGATTAATGCTAAAATGTCATTCCTTTTAAATCTTGAGTTATATAAATAATTATCAACCTTGCAGTGCAGTTTTTGAATGTAGTGTTAAGAATGAGTCATAGTATATTCTGTTTCTATAATACTTCATCGTTTCTGAAGGAATGCAATAATGAATACAAAAGTAATCGTGGTTTCATTTAACCTAAAAGGCTGTTTTGCTAAAAAGAAATAAATCTAAATCTAAGCCATAAGAAATTCGATTTTTCTAAGATTCCAAAACATTAGTTTTAGTCAAAATCATGGACATTACTTTGAAACAATAAAACATGTGTCACAAACAAATATTAAAAATGCGATTTAATTTGAACTCTGGCTTTTTCTTACAATTAATTATGCAAAATAATCAAAACAAATCAGTCTAAAATGTCAAAGTCATGCACTACTTTACGGTAACAACATACTTGTAGGTGGAACGGGTGGTGGGTTCCTTCGAAGATTAGCTGTACAACAACATTACCATTTATTACACATATTTGTACCACAGCACAATATGAAAAATATATACCTGATTGTTTCATAATACTAATACTTTTTTGTAATATAGGATAGGATATTAGCACATGTCAAGGACTAAAATGGATAATACAAACCTACAAGAAGCATAGGACTCTTTATAGTAGGATATATAATAAAGATATATTGATAAATAAATAAAGTATAAGACGAAGTAGTGATTTACAAAATTAATGTTTGCTGCGGATTTAAATTTTCGATATCGATAAAAGATTAAAATTTCGTGTTTTAAACCATTTAAAGTGTTTTATTAAATGTAATTCCATAAACAACAGACAATAATAAAATGACATTGGCCAAAACGTCGCAGAATCGACCAATCAAAATCGCCGCATGAAGTAACGACATCTCTTTTCGTCTTATATTCTATCTCCCTCACTTTTCTATTGTTTATAATGATAGCATATCTGTAGGATATACTCACCAAAGTTATCCACCGTTTCGTCTCGCTCTAACGTAGTGGAGAATAATACATCCGGCATCCGAATGGGGAAGGAATGGTCTTCCTCCCAGACATCGCTGCGCGGCTTACGTCGTTCTCCATTTTGTACGACTAGGCTGATAACCACAGATACGTTCGCTGAGAAATGATCGTTCACGGGCGATGCTTCATCTATGCCATCTATTTCAGACCTGAAAGGGAAAATTCATTGAATTACTTACGGAGGAATTTTCGTTCACCATTAGAGCTACCGCGCACTGGTGATTATTGTCACGGTAACTATAAAGTATTTATCATTGTCAAGTCAGTTCTTAGAGTGGAGTGCACTCACGAATAGAGACAGTGACAACACTTTGACATAAAATTTTCAAAAATTTCGAAGTGTCATTTGCCACTCTGGATTTCGAAGAGAGGGTCGTTCTCTGTGAACTCTTAACTTGGAGAAAAAGAAAACGAAGAGAATACTGGGTACACCCCCTTTGGAGTGACAGGCTTCTACGTGGAATGTTCTACACTATGTATTATAAACTTCGAGAACATCCTAAGGATTTTTTTTCATATTTCCGAATGTATGTTCCTTTATATATGGTGTCTAAACCCGTTTACGTGTTTATTTAAATTTAGTATAGTAATTACTAACATTGCAGTTTAAAGTTATCAATATACTTTTAGGTGGACTGATCTTTTTTCTATTTTAGAGTAAATGTTATATGTATTTTTTTCTAATCAAAATCCACAAGTAGAACGTCTCAAAATCATTGATGGTCTCGTCGGCTTATTGGTTTGATCACCACAGTAAATAACATGTTTGTAATCAATTTATAATTTTACTAAAACATGTTGGATGTTGCTGGGATATATATAGTAAATGGGTTGTAGGTATATCGAAATTCCGTCCGGTTCACGAACCACCGTCGGCAGATGATAAAGCCTTTGAGTTTTATCGCGTTTCTGTGTCAATCTATGAATTTCCAAATATCCAAAGCCAAAATAAATTGACAACGCATCTTGTTAAAACGTTACATTGCTGGCTTATTTTCTTTCATCAAATGAAATTCATGCTTGTCCGTCCTCTTCTACCAAAAAGGGCCAATAATACAAACCTGGTAAACTTGATAGCATGTTGATCATACGACAAGAAGCCAGTGTGGAATGACACAGATAACATCGGCACTCGCTGGAAGCGGCCGAGTTGCTGTCGCGCGTGGTACGCTACCACCACTACATCGCCAGTTACTGTGGCGTCCAGTGGTAGAGTTACCTGAAAAATTATATTTTTAGTATTCATTACATTTTTAAATTGAAATGTTGCCTAATATAGAATTGTTTATAGTGCATTTTTCTTACTTGGCACTTTTGGTGAACAATCACACAATTTACATAAATTCGTGATATTTTCACAAGATTTACATTGATCTACACTAAAAACAACGACCGCCTCAGTAGACAAATGGTTACCATTGCGTGAGCGCGAGAGGTCCTGGGTTCGAATCCCAGAGAAACAAAAAATAGGGGGGGGGCCCCGATAATTTCATGCTAAAACTAATAAGAAGTCTAAGATATTGAATGACGCAAATATACAGATTAAAATTTCCGAGAGAGAAGAGAAAAGTCCCAATTACGCACGATCGCTGTAAAGAGTTGCAAACGTCGAGATAAGTAATAATGACATAAATAAAAAATAATAAGTCGCTCCATAAAAGGGCATCACTATTTTTCTATGGTTTTAAATCGGCCATGTTTGTTGTGGTCTTTTGCCAAGTTAGAATAAATACACTATAGACGAAGTTTCAGCGTTACGTATGAGCAAACATTTGTCGTTTACCTTTCCTTCAGCCATGTTATATAAGTGTAAACTTTCATAGCCGCGTAAGGGCGGCGAAATTAGTCTGTCCTCATTGAAAACTTCCAAGTACGGTCGGCAACCGTCCCTAAAAGATAATTAAGTTAATGTTTTAAGAGGCGAAATATTTAAGTACATAAATGTTAGGTTAAAAATCATAGTTCGAGAGCTAATTCCTAATTGCACATTTTTATATTTTAAAAAATACAAACAAAAGTTATATGCTAGTATTGAGAGCCGTATTGGGTTTTTTTAAAATGCTGTACACTTTTTTTTTGTCACAATAAGAAACGTTGAAAATCTTACCTCGCTTTAGTGAATAATGGCACAGGTTGGATTGTTAATGACACTAAAGAGACAGGCCTGAAGTGAGGTAACACTGGTTCTGGCCTGAAAATAATTATTAATAAGTTGAAAAAGGAGAAATGTTATATGGCTGGTGTATATCATCTACTATCAAATGAACGCCACGCTTGTCTGCCCTCTTCTATCATAAAAAAGAAAGAATCACGAACCATAAAATATATTAAAATAACCGCTTCTGTCATAATTAGAGATACTTAATATTAACAATACAATTATTTTCGAATGTTCAATTTTAGTTAGTAGTAGTAGTATAAGTGTCATTCCTATTTTTGCAAGATTTTAACCCTAGAAAGATCTATCTTCACTACAAAATAAAAATAGCAAATATAACTTTTAGAAGTATAAAATGGGTAATGATAAAACATCTATTGTTTTAGATTATGGACTTTTGCCCTGTACCTGACGATATTATGAAGGTAATACAGGTATCGCAGTTGACTCGGTAACATGTTGATCGGTGTCCGTTTCACGGCAAATATTTGCAGCGCGTCTTCCGGAACCGTCACCAACTTCGCGTACAGCAGCAGCCCGCATAAAAGCATCGCAGATCTTGATTTACCGTCCTTAAACAGAATTTCCGAGATTATTTTTAGCGGACAGTCAAGCATCATTTAAATTAACTAAGGTTTATTTCATTAGATAGAAATTTGGTAAGTTATATTTCCACCACTTTGTTCACACAAGCTTTGTTCATTACTACATATTTTGCCTTTTAAATAAAACACTTTTTAACCATTTAAAACGTGAACTGTCTTAGTTAACTTAACTACAATTTATTTTTATTACGGCCCGACGTTGCGGCTGCTTTGCGGCAGCATTTCGAGTTTTAAACCGTTAAAAAGTGTTACACTGATATCGCGTAAACTACAGACAATACTTTGTCTTACTTCAACGCTAAGGCTTTAAGATAACTCAGGCACAAAAGATTAATCAATCCCATAGCCCATTAGTATGTCAAAAAAAAGACTTGAACGACAGTAGATTGAGGACAGTGGGAGGACTTACAGAGCAAGCAATAACGAGTGCGCTTTTGTCGTCCTTCCCCAAGTACTGGTACATGTGCTGCAGCAGAGAATAGTATGAAGCCAGTAATGGCGCGCGATGGTCTTCGGACGGCCACACCGAGGTGTCTGTCACCAACTGCCGCCGCGGGAAGCGGGCCTTTGCATCGTGTACGGTGTAAACACAGTACTTGCCACCTGGATGGTGACTTTCGAGGTACAACTGGAAACAAACTTTTTTATGTAGCTAATTTCTTAAGCCACAAAGCATAGGACGCTACTTTGCTAGAGATGAGGGTTGAAGAAATTCAAAGAGATTAGGTGCGACACGGTAACTTCAATTGGTTACAGTAGTAACATGGATATCTGTGAATACTGGTTCAAGTTCCGCGTCCGTCAGATATTTTTTTAGGCGTCCATAGTTATTCGACGCAAGTGGGACCTGCTCCTGGCTCCTAAGTCCAATCCGGCACTTAGGAGCCACTTATGTAACTGTTTTAGCCCTAGTCTGATATACCTAATGTATGATAATAGTCTCCAAAAATTGTACAGTACAGTAACAGGTTATACGTATGTTTCTCCTATACAAATTGTATATCTTTGTTTAAAGGTGTATCCTATAATTATGACATGAACAATAACAGTACTTCTTACAATATATATAAATTAATATTTCAATAAAAGTTTTCACACACAATAACTACCCACAACAATTTGTGGGTAGTTACGAGTGTCTGCCACTATGTATACTTACCCTAACATCCTCAATATGATTAGTCTTATAAGCACTTTCTAGTAAGTCCGACGGATATGACATAACAATAACACGACTAGTTATATAACTTATGTCCAAGTCCGCTCTGGCTATAGACCTGAAAAGGAGTAGTTAAGTGTTGGTAATTTTAAAACTCGAATTATTTTCATTCAACTTTGACACAAGAGCTTCATCTTTAAATCCCGGGTATAACACACATACTATTTGTGTGTCTAAAGTATAACTAAAATTCGATCAGTTAAACGGACATAGAAATGAGTCTGTTATCTCCACATATAAAGTAAGCCATTACATGTTTCTTTTTTCATCTTATATCCATTAAATTCGTCTATCCGTCAAATCTACCTTATAGTGTTGTCTCTTTCCTTCAACTACCTACAAAAGAATAAGGATACAAAGTTCGTCAAAACTAACAGACTGGAGAAATGACTTACTGTTGTACAGTTTGCATAACTTTGGACGACGTGTCCTTAAGATTTTTTAAGAAGCTTCCAGCGCCGTCCTTAATGGATGAAAATAAGCCACCAGAAGTAGGCTGCGCTTGCGCCTGTGGAGGCATGTAATGTGGGGCCGCAGGTGGTCTCGAAGGGGGCGGAGGCCTACTTGGCTCCGGTGGCCTCGGACTTGGCGCTTCAGATATGCCTGCAGTGTTCTCTTTGACTCCTGAAAATAATATATTTTACAGTATATTTTGAATATCAAGTGTTAAAATAAATAAAAATTTATCAATATAATACAATAGTTAAAATTATTATAAATTGTGCGACAATTTAATAATGGTTCTTTAAGTAACTTCCATTAATATTGTTTAGTCACATATTCTACTTGTAATGAAACTAAAATAATAATTTAAATATTTATTGATAATTTAAAATAGATATCATACAAAGATAGAAGAACTTACATTGCTAATAGTAACAAAAATATTGCTTGTCTATAAACTACTTAACAGAATGTTACACATGTTAGATGACGGAATCATTAAAATTGGATTCGGTTACAGTAAGTTTGCTCGATAAATATTGTTTATTAAATGTAGCCATTGTAATATTAACATTACAAAGAAGAATATTTTAACGACAGCATTGTACACTCTATTCAGTATATTAATTTTACCTAAAATATTGGACAATATAGGTCCCAACAAAAAATAATCAGGAATAATTCATATATATTAATTATCTTGACTTCGAAAAATTGCTTATATATTAGACTGAGCAAAGAGAACGTTAGAAGCCGATCAGGGTGGCAATTCCAAGTTCAGTGAAAAAAATAAATTAAATCACTCTGTTGAGAATTGCCTGCCTGGTATTGTCTACATCGAACTTTGTAAGAAGATACATAAATACTTTTAAATCTACATAATCCGAAAGTGTTACGAGTTTATTTCATGCTTAAATGATATAAGCATGAAATAAACTGTTTGAGCTAAGCACATAATAAGGTTTCGAACCAAATAATTTAAGCCTCACTGGACTTTGAGCCTTTGTAACAGAGTCAAACATATTACAATAACTTATTTTAATTAATTTGGTACATTCATATCAATAGCGTTAAAAATACGTTGTACATATTTGTACACATTTACCAGTGCCAAGTAAAAAAAAACTCCTAAGCTCTCAAAAATCCTTGATTTTTTAGAGTAGGTACAAATCATATTCTATATTACAACTAGGAATACTCTCAATGTGATTGTAAAAACGTAACAATTGAAATAAAACACCTTTAACGGTTTAAATTGCAAAATATATTAGTCAAAATACATTTCACACCGGGTCGTGGTTGAAAATAAATTCGTTAATATATTTCGCGTTTAAATGCGTTCTAAGTGTTTTCTTTCAGTTGGTAGTACTCTTAGAGTACTGGCAATACTTTATGTAACTAATTGGCTCATAATCTACGGTGCAGTATTGATGCTTAACAAAATTATAACTAAAGTGATGTAAAATAAGAATAACAATTATAAAGCATAATAAAACTTAACGGAATGATCACATTGCGGTAACCAATAACTAAATACAATACTAAACTTAGCACTTTAGTGCTGTAAGGACCGTTTAAGCAATACGTAAGCACTAATTATTAGCTAGGGGTTACAATTTGCTTTGCTTATTTTTGATGAGATTGTGATGATGTTGGTCTAGAGGCTGAATACAGCAGAAGAAGTCATAAGTTATAACTTTTATTTATTTTCACGTTGTTGAACAGTCAATAGATCACCTTTTATCCTTTACCTGCATAATATAGCATCGAAAACCTTCTAGAAAAGTAAAATAGATTGTAGATTCTCTCTATTGACCTCTGTCAGATGGACAATGGATATGGAGATGCTCATTCATCAAAATAAAAAAACAAATCATTAGATAAGAAGTAGAACACATACAAATGTTAACGTAAGCCTGAGAGGGGAAGAAAAGCACTTTCCTAACTCTCGCTGACAAGGGGGGAGGGAGTTAGGGTGCTTATGTAGCACTTGATTAAGTATTTTTTTAATACGCGGCGCATGCTACTTATAAAGTTGGAAGTACCTATTCGCGCCATGTCATTGCGCTGTCTTGTAATAAAAAGTATATATACTTAACATTAAAGTACAAATGACAATATTTACTAAGAAACGTTACAAAAATATATCTAACATCAAGTCTCTATGGTCTCATAGGAATTATTAAGTATCAAATTATGTAACTTGGAATGTTAAAGATCACGGTTGCACGGCACAAACAATAGCATACGCCAAGAATTTATAATTCTTTCGCCATCGTTAGAACAAAAGTAAATAATGAATTATTAATTTGAATTAAATCAATTTTAAACGTAAATAAAACTCTCACAGCACTTAGAAAATCACGAACACATTTTACAGATATAACAAGACATCACTAACTTTTAATGCAAACCAAGTTTTGGAGGTTTTTTTTAAATATACTATGAATGTAATGAATCACATTGTTTCTTAATCTATATCATTTAGGTTTCTCCTACTGTGTTATGTGATAAGTGAGGTATAAAAAGATTTGAAAGGAAAGCTTGATTCAGTCCGAAAGACCATTAAATGATTGTTGTACTCGATAGCACTGTGAGCAATATCTTAGGATGTGGCGCAGCAAAGACGTAACAATACCTTGTAGTCAAATATGTAATATCCTGTTATATATAAAATACATATAATATTAGTCTGTATAAAAAACACTTTGTAAAAAACGCGATTTTATGAGGAGCTGTACTGGAGTATACGTCAAAAAGTCTTTAGTTACAAACCTTATATAACATTCTTAAAACAAGTATAAAAAACAAAGTTTGTAGAGTTAAACTGTCTATAGTTTACGAGATTGTACACTTTTAAACAACCCATACATTTAACATTTTAAAACGAGATATATTAGGTACAAAGTCTGTGTACGACCCACGGCTGCTTTAAAGACTTTCTATACGTTTACGGGCCGAAGTAGTACAAATCATTTTCAAATAAATTTACACTTTAATGGTATCGCGTTTTAAACCGTTAAAGTGTTTTATTTAATTGTGTAGATTTTTTATACATGTAACTGACGTTGGTGCATCAGTTTTGTCTGCAGCCAACTGTCCGTAAAAACGTGTTATACCCGATAAAATATTTGCTATAAATGCTAAAAAACGATGTTGACGTGATATTGTAGTTTGTATTATGTGTAGTCAATTTAGAAACGCTATCTCATTCTGCATTAAATTCACGAAATTGTGTTATCTATTAATATTAAGCATTAGTAATTCATAGTACATATTGCAAGCCTTGTAAGTGTTAAGATACGTCCGTATTTTGTCATGCGTTAGAAACGTCCGATTGTACGGACAGTTCGCTGTGAGCGGTTTTCAATAAATAAATTAACAATTGTATACAAAGGATCCGATCGGAATATGTATATAACATAGTAAATGAAAGTAATACTCATCATTCAGAGCATATCCATATTTTAAGCGGTCTAGTGAGCTCCGAGGGCATGCGGTGAGTTGTCATTTAAACGAGAAAGCAATCGGGCACCCGAAAAAGTTGAAAACACCTAAAATGAAAAAGAAAATGTGATTCATATGAAGGCATACATGAGTGGGAATCGAAGGGTCTCGTACGTATTCTTAATATATAAAAATCAAGATTTAAAATGTAACAGCTCACGTGGATAGCATGTAAGAAATATAGATCAATATTATTGTGCAATATCCCGTGTTGTACAATAAAATTTATCGTGTGTAGACGACATTGAAGCGTAAGGGGGCGCCCGGAAAAAATTCCCCCAAACCAACAAACAAAAATTTTCTTAGCTAGAGAGTTTTTTCGTCTATTTACAAACTACATACACGATTAGAGGTCGTCGGTTTCCGTAAAAAATGTACGTAAGAGACGCTTCGATTACAACAAAGATAAAACATGCATAAATGGTCTAAACACTAAAATGTAATAGAAGAAGCCGCCACTAAGGATCACATGCAAACATTTGGGTCATAAATATCTAGGTATATTGAAAATTTGTTCTTAAGGTCGAGTATGTCTCTTGAATCTAAAAATAGCACAACAAATTATACGCCACATTCAATGTGTGACTATCAGTGCGATTGTATACGACATGAGTGTTTAACACATGAAACTGGCCACAAATATATGTCCTACTACATACTCTAACTTATATTAAAACAAAAATAGTAATCATAGATTAAATGTATGAAAACAAACAATTTATATTTAAATATAGAATGATATTCATTTCTCTCGGAAAAGTTGACAGTACTTTTGAAGTTAAATACAATGTAACTTATGGTTCTAATTCGTCAATTATTTTAAGTTATTATGTACAGTTCTAGATTAAATAAATGTGAGTAAGCGTGTGCAAATTATGATATCACGTCATTGTGCCATTAATTAGTGCATCGTTAATTATATTTTATTTTTAGCTTGGAATGTTTTCTGAAAGTAGATAGTTAACGAACTTCTGAAACTTTCATAACATTCATTAACAAATGAACACAGAAACAATTGCTAACGACACTGTTAAAAATATAAGTTATTTACACTGTGCTATATATATTAAATGCACACTTCACTGTCAAACTAATGAAATATTTGTTTGTCTGTGAGTGTTGGATAAAACCTACTAAACTAATCAATATTGAAGCTATTTAAAGATTGAGATCGGATGTTGTTAGAGAAATGTAACTTTTGTAAGTAAAAGTTGTTAAGTAAAAATAACGACGCATTTCTAGTTTCCAAAAGTTTTCAAAGTTTAATTTGGTACAAAGTGAAAATATAAAAGAGGTAATTTTACTGTAAAATGCGTCATTACATTTACAGTTAGTAGAAACGTTTAATTGTAAGCATTAGTAATTGTACGAGCGAATATTTAGCACAAAACGAAATATGACAGATATTACCATGTTCCCGCCAGGCCCAACCACTCGAGAGTATTCCTGCTATAAATAACTATTCAAATAAAACTAATGATTATAACATTAATTTATTCACGTTCAACACTTTGAAATATTGAATTATCGTCGTGATGATATCGGTACGTGATATTAGGATACAATTATCGTACGATATTAACAAAAGAATTAAAATGTAGTTTTAAGAAGATCCAAAGACAAACATCATTTTTTAAAAGCGTTATTTTAAACATTTTGTTTTTGACTAATTGCAAGGGGCATAACTTTTTAAAATCTTTTTCAAATATGTAAAATCGTCATTTTGTACCATTTAATTTTTTACGTATATTTTATGAAAATGCACTTACATTTACATAAATAACGACACAACACCAATATTTTGATTGTTATCAAGCCACCAGTTGTTAGAGCATTGATTTCTATAACATTACTAGTACAGCAACATGAATACAAAATTATTATTTGTGAGTTACCTAAAATATATTTAGGCAGTTAGTACAATTTTAGGCCAGTATTATTAATAAATTTTCACTTAAAAGGTTTTGTACGGTATAAATAAGCAGACCAACTTTTCTCTTTCTGTAAACAATCTTTTGCATACTTTACTTTCTTTTTCAATTACTGTAAAAAGTTGAACTACTAATTATATGCCATGAGATAGTTTTAGATTTCTTTGTAATAGGTATTGTTAAATATTACGACATTAAATGCAGTTTTTATTAAAATGGTATCCCTTATTAGTTATTATTCTTTACAAGTGGAATGTGATGCTAGAGGCACAGATTAATTATATCTTAATAAATAATTATCCTATAAAAATATAACCTTAAACATTAAAACGGTTTTAAAAACCAATGCGGATATACAAAGCTTAAAGTGCACGTAATGGAAAATAGTATTTGATATCAAACGTGAAATATTGCCAGTATAATGAGCTAGACCTATTTTTTTAATTAAACTGTATTGTCTACATTATTGAGTGTATATTTAATTTTTTTGTTATGGGCATTACTTCTTATAAGCCATTTTGACATATACACTTGTAATATTTAAAGCTCACTTACATCGTCAATTGTTCTTTGAATAATTGTTGCCTTTATCAATAAATTATAATAACGCATAGAGGAGTAAATTAAAAATATATTAAATAGTAATAAATTTCAAAAGAACAAACATGAAAAAAGTCAAATAAATGCTATACTACCTTTTTCGTTCGACGACTCACGTCAACGTTCTTACCTTGGGCGATGTTTCGTTTTTGGAGATAAAACAACATGGGAATGTAAAGACATCTCACAATTTACCGTTAAACAAATCTAAAGCAATAATTCGAACCGAAGAGGAAGTAAATAAAAGAAATTTGAGTGTAAAAAGTCAAAAAATACTTGACCATTTTTAGCTCGAGTCGCATATGCAAAATAATATAACACCGACGGGGGTCGACTTAGTCGTTTCAAATAAATACGAATGTTCTAGAACGACCGAAGCGGGAAAACGCGACGCAGTTTACGATATGGTAGTGTAATATTTACTTGACTTCTTATTACCTGGCGAGCTAGTGGCCACAGATTGTTCAACTTTTTTACGCTCAAATTTGAGTGGTTGCTTGATATTGATATTATGGGTCTCGGCTATGGCTGCTAAACGCTCGAGTACTCCGCTTACTGGCAGCCTCATCTCGGGGTTCACTGTTAGGCAACCACCTGTAAGCAAAGATTATATGCTTCGTGTAACAATGAGTTATGAAAATTTTCTTACTATTCGATGTCAGGTTCATTAATAAAGGCATTGGAAATAAAAATATATATTTTTAACATGCAAATCACTGTGTCTGTTTATGTGTTGTAGGGTTATTTGTTCTGTTATTCAGTTTGCATTTAATATCAACATACAAGAAACATGATGATAAATAGTTCTGATACCCAATGATCACACAGCAGATATAAAACTTTTTTATTACATACAATAAATAAAGTATGAAAATAAAACTGACTTACTTATAATCTCATGAAAGAATTTATAGTCTTGATCGTTTGGATTTAATGTATAATTGCCATTGAGTATAGCCAGCTTTGCAGAATCCTCAAACGGGTGTTGCATATAGCATAAGGTGTACAATATACAACCAAGAGCCCACATGTCAACTGCATGATCTATCCTTCTATTATCCCATGTATCAAGCATTTCTGGCGCTCTATACATTGGAGTAGTAAATTGGGCCAACTGAAATAAAAATATAATAAATACTGTCCATATTTAACTAATATATATCGCGTTTTAAAACGTTAAAGTGTTTCATTTATTATAAACATATTAGACAAAGATAACTAAATATGTTAGAATTATCAACCAGTATTTATCTATTGCTCATCTATACATATTTTTAAATTAATAAAAGCTCATTTATAGTATCTTGTAGAAATGATAAGTATTTAAATGTTTATAAATTGCCACTTAAAAAATCATTAAAACAAAACAAGACTAATAAATAAATAAATCCCTTAAAAAATCATTAAAACAAAACAAGACTAATAAATAAATAAATTGTAGTTTTATGTTTTTCTCAATAAATCACCGATATTGGTATGATAAGGACAAAATTTATTATTACCATGAGTGAGTAAAAGATACTGTATAAATCAAGTTTCAAATTAAAAATTTTTGCAGAATTCACTTGTATTTTTTATACTTATTAAATTTAAGAAATACATACATTTTCTTCTAACATATTCCTTTGGTTTGCACTCCAAGAAGGGTTAGGTGAATACACTTCTGTAGTTGCAGAACCAAAGTCGCACAACTTTATTGTCCCTAAAACATATATAAGCAAATTTAAATCAAAATAAAAACATTAGACAAAATCTTGACATTTCAAATAATGCAATAAAAAATGTTTTTGTTTCTACACAATGAAAACAGGCCATTTTAAAGGAATAGATAAAATAAACAGATTAATTATGATACCTTCATTAGAAATAAGAAAATTTTCTAATTTAAGATCTCGATGCGCTATAGGAGGGACCTGTGCATGCATGTGTTGCACAGCCTTACAAGCTTGGTAAAATACCCTTAATATTGTTGGTGTTGGTAAAGGAAATCCTTGCCCTCTATTTTGTAGAGCTTCCATTAGGCTACCTCCACTGCACAAATCAGTTAACAATAAGTATTCACTCATCCCGTGTGTTGTCTTAGACTTATCAATAAATGAGGCAGCTATATATTTAATTATATTAGGGTGTCCTGACAGTTTTTTAAGTAAACTTATTTCTTGTATTATATTCTTATTAGCCTGCTCATCAGCAGCCATAAGCCTTTTCAATGCATATTCTGTTCCTGAACCAACATCTTGAGCAACAAAGACAAATGCAAAACCACCTGTAAACAATATTCTACAATTAGAATGTATCATTATTAATATATAAAACAAACAAAAAAAACTTAATGTATAATAATACCATTTCTCCAAATTAAGACCAAATCAACTAATAGTATTTTTAAAAATGCTTAGATTGGAGCTGTTTGTAATGTTTTACAAAAAGAAGGTAAATTCAACTACATACCTAGCTCAAGTCAGTTAAAGATACCAAAGAAAAATTGTTCAAACTAGAGCTATAAAAAACGAAACCAAGGACAATTACTAATATTGCTAATATACATACTTTTTAGGCAATGAACCTTCCGCCCCAAATTTACGTCAACGAGAACAATAACCTGAGCAAATGTAAATAAAATAGGACAGAAAACTGATTCAGCTACTTACCTTCAGCTATTACTTTTTTCACTCGGAGTTTCATATTGCCAATTTCGACAAACTGCCCAACAAAATCATTATCACTGCCCCCGTTGGCACTTCCAGAGCTGAAGTACCCCATTGCAGATTTGAATACACTCATTTTGCCTAATACTCTGAAAATACTAACACTAAAAAACTAACTAACTATATTTATATTTAACACTTGTACGTGGCTACATCCATTTTATCTAATAACAAGAGCGAAGCGAGAAATTAGCAATTTGATAAAGAAATGAAAAATCAAAGATGAAAGAATAAAATCGTAGTTGACTGGCAGTCGACCACTTAAAAAACTTCAAATTTTATATAATGACAAAGACATTAGTGATATTACGATGATGACGTTTAGAAGTATGTACCTAACCACAGAAAATGAAATCACCCTAGTGCTGCCAGATCCAACAAAATGTTTCCCTAGTACCATACTCCTTTACTGTAATAATTAAATTAAAGGATTAAATATTTCCTTTACAAACATTACAGCGAGCTTTATTTATGAAGGTGCATTTTAATTTTTTTATTAATTAATAATAACCTTAAATACTTGAAAATGTTATTGGTCTCGAACTTTTTAAATTATTTCCTTCTTGTTAAGTATATTTAATGCATTTTGTTCCTAAACAAAAAACATAACTTTCATGTTTTCATTATTTAATATTTTCACATAGGTATTTTTGATTTAAACTTCATTGCATAATGTATTTTCTGAAAATTCCCTAATCACCCCGTTGCCCCCATTTAGTAGGAAAACCCCGAAGATGGCATCACTCTATCACAAATAAGGAACAACTAACGAAAGCATAGTTATTACATATATACTATATCGCATGTACAGTATATGCGAAAATGTGAATCTGTATATTCTGTCAAACTTATTTTGTACCTATTTCATTAGTAATTTGTTTTAATTTATACGACAAATTTGTATTTTGTGCACTCGTTTAACTTGCGCACAATGTATTAGTGTTAAATAAATCAAAGCTGAATAAGAGCGGATGATTTATATTTATTTCTAAAGTTAGGATGGGCTTTGAAATCAAAAGATTTCAAGGTGACGTTGACGAAGAACTTATTTGCCCCATTTGTTCAGGAGTTCTAGAAGAACCTTTACAGGTATGGGGCTTAAAACATTATAAACTTATAGTAAGTTATGTATTTTTTAGCAAGGTTTACTGACAGAGATTAAAATTAATTCTTTAAAGGCACCTGCTTGTGAACATGCGTTTTGCCGTGCCTGCATCACTGAATGGATAAGTCGTCAACCAACTTGCCCAGTAGATCGACAGGCTGTCACAGCAAGTCAATTAAGACCCGTTCCAAGAATTCTACGTAACCTGCTTTCAAGGTATTAAATTGCTGTTATGAAATCCATATGAACTGGGCCATTGAATTGTTGTTTTTGCAAACAGGATTGGTACTAATAGTCATTATCAATTATAATTTTAAATGCTCTTTATACTTCAACCTAAAACTACCTACTTTTTAGGATAGCATCTATAAGAACACCTTAAAGACACTGATAGTTAAATTAAAAATAAAAATATTTTTAAGTCACTACATAATTGCTACTCACTTTCAGACTATGCACTAGCTGTGATAATGCTCCACATGGTTGTAGTGCTGTTTTAAAACTGGATTCCCTTGGATCACACTTAGTAGAATGTAAGTGTTGCTTTGTAAAATAGTCAATCTGCTGTTTAATTAATTCAATACATTTTGAATAATACTCCCATCAAAAACTGCTAAACGGAATTTATTTCTTAGGTGAATTTAATCCAAAGAGGCCTATGCCCTGCGAGGCAGGGTGTGGACTGGTGATCCCAAAAGATGAACTGGCTGACCACAATTGTGTGCGAGAACTACGTGCCCTAATTGCCTCACAACAAGGAAAGCTCACAGACTACCAACAAGAACTTGCTGAACAAAGACTTATTATTAATGAACACAAGCGAGAACTGGCTCTACTTAAGGTAGTATAAATTTACCAAAGAACATTTATTGTTATTGGCACAAGATGGATACGACATATCTATATATATAATGTTTTTTAATTTGAAAAGGAATTTATGCGAGCTATGCGGGTATCAAATCCAACAATGAGAGCACTTGCCGACCAGATGGAACGGGAGGAAGTTGTCCGTTGGGCCAATTCTCTGACTAGAGCACGAGTAACTCGATGGGGAGGCATGATCTCTACACCCGATGACGTCCTGCAGGTGGTAATAGACTGATAATGTGTATATTAACCTTTTCAGGAGTTGTTTTATGATTTCAGATTTTGTTAAAAAAACCTAACTGCTTTTAAAAAAAACACTTTAACGGTTTAAAACGCGATATATTAGTTAAACTTATTTTTAAGTTCGGCCCGACGTTTCGGATGTTTTGCAGCAGCCGTGGTCACAGGGAGACTAGTCGGCCTGTGACCACGGCTGTTAAAGTGTTTTATTTAAATGTGTACTACTTGCATAAACTATAGACAGTATTCTAACCTAACTGCCTTAAAATAAAATTATATTAAACGGAGTATAATACAGAATATACCCATTAGAAGAAAATGTGAGCAAATATAATTAAGATCAATTTAATGGAGGATTGACAAATAAATTTTTACTTCTTTAACAGATGATGATAAAAAGAAGTTTATCTGAGACAGGATGTCCCCCTCATATAATTGATGATCTGATGGAAAATTGCCATGAACGCAGATGGCCACCTGGTCTCTCTTCTTTAGAAACTAGACAAAACAATAGAAGGTATTAAATGTGTTGCCAAAATGAAGAAATAATAAACAATTAAGAAGATATTTTGTTAAATTGCATTTAAATATATAACTTCCTTACATGCGTAAAAGTGTGTTTACTGAATATTTTCTTCTTACAGGTTGTATGAAAAATATGTCTGCAAAAGAGTGCCTGGGAAGCAAGCTGTGCTTGTATTACATTGTGATAACACCCATGTTGATGAACACATGATGGTTGAGCCAGGACTTGTGATGATCTTTGCTCATGGAATAGAATAGCATAGGCTGAATATTATTCCAAAATAGGAGAACAATTGCTGATTTCAAAATTTAAGTATGGCAGGTGTATCAAGACAACAAAATTTTAGTAAAGAGCACTATCCATGACTGATGACTGAGTTAAAAATTATGGACTTTTGAAAATTACTAAGGCGTTTTGAAAAACTACATCCTGTTGTGCTTATCGCGATTTACACATACCTACTAAAGATGGCCATACAAAATGTTGCCACTATAAAGGTTTTTGGAAGTGACTTTGAATGAGAGTTTAATTGCATATGTTTGTATTATTGGTCATGTGAACATTCCAAGTTGCAATTAAGATAGTTAATAGTGTTTATTTTAAGTTTGTATAATAACGAGTGCTGTGTTGTTAGTTTTAAAAATAATGTAGATTGCACAGTAAGCTAATTTTATTGCGGCTAATAAAACAAATCTATAATTTTATGTCTATGTATGATTTCTCATTTGTCAACGAACTACTTGATACTCAATTTGTAACTACCTACTGCTATATTTTATACTACTATATGAGAATTATATTTGTAGCTTGATATGCAGCATCAATTTAATAAAGATCATTTTTATCAAACGAATTGTTTTTTCTTACTATAAAATGTAGCCTGTATATAATGGTTCCGACAATTTAAGCAGATATCGCATAATATTAAGTCATATTTACTGTATAAATATGACTGACATTAATATTAATAGCTATTAAAGAAATCTTTATATTTTAGCTAGCCTGTGGCATAACCGACTTATGTGCAGCCTATTACAAGTTTTGATGATTTTGACATTAGTAGAATAATGAAATTTTGTCTGTCATTGTAAGTTCATGATTTCTGTTTTGATGTGCAAATTGCATATAAAACAAATCCTGAAAATCTTGTAAATAGTTACAAGAATGTCCGAAATGGAAGTAACAGAAAGTAATGATTGTTCGAATGATTTATGTAAGTGGCATTTTATTCATGAGTTTTGTAGTGATTATCGGCTACATCCTTAAAAAGAGCCGGTTCTTGAATTAGTATTTTGTACTTCTAGTACTTCTTGATCGTGTCTTTCTTCGCCTTGGAAATGCAGACACAGACGAGCAATTGGAGAACTGCCTCAATAGATTCTTACCTCCCGTTATCCTGAAGCTATCATCCCCACATGAACAGGTATCTACATTAAATTTTACCTCTACATAGCCTTATTTTTAACTTTTTATTGATTTTGTTCATCTTAAAATAAAATAAGGCAATAAAAATGATGAATTTAGGTGCGCACCAAAGTAATGGAACTCTTAGTACATGTAAACAAAAGAGTGAAATGCAGAGCAGATGTGCAGCTTCCAGTTGAGACCCTGGTTCAGTCCTACCGCGATCCAACTGCAAATAGTTTTATTATTGTAAGTATGTATTTATAAGAACTCTGTTATGTTAAATCTAATGTTGATAAAAACCAATAACATATAGAGAAACAGTACAAAAAAGAAACACATACATTTGTATGTGTTTTAATATTTATTCACAATACTTTTTTGCAGAATTTTTCAATAATCTACATAACAATGGGCTTTCCGCGTCTACCTCGTGAGCAGCAACTCAAATTGGCACCGTCTTTGCTGGAATCTTTGGAAAACAGACCACAAAGCCATCAAGACCAGTTAGTTCCCAGAAGTTTCATAACTGATATGTTAAAAGTAAAAGAATAATTAAAATAAATCAAAGAGGACATAGAATATCTTTGCACTGCTTGTCTTTCTAGTTCTTCATTACATCACCTTAAATTTACAACATCATTTTAAAGATATACCTTTTATTTTAGGATACTTATGCTGGTGATTCCACTGCTTGCTGAAATAAAGGAGACAGATCTCAATCTTAAAGAGAAACCCAAAGTGTCAGCTCTGATTCTTAAATTTGCTACAGATGTACTTCTTTTACCATATAGGTAATAATTTTATTAGCTAAATCCTAATCAGAAAGTTAGATGACACCTGTGCAACCCAAAGCCACACAACCACAACGTTTTGAGTACCTGTTATTGCTATGGCTAAATTAACTATCATGTCTCACTTGCAAATTGTAAATGCACCCAAAAGTTTATTTCGGGTGCATTTATGATGACAAGTTATAATTTTTTCGAATACAGAATATATGTTACACTGCTAAGAAAAAGTTTAGTATTGTATTTTCATAGTGTGTTTTCTTATTTGTAGAGCACTACCTAATACTGGTGAAAGTGATTTTCAAGTACCACCTGGAATGAGTTTAAAGTCTTATAAGAGAATTGTTGATAAAAATCAGTTGAATGCAAATCAACTGGAAGAGGTGATTGCATATATATTTCTTTACAAGTTCCAACTTTCCAGAGAATTACAAATTTTATATGAAAATAATTGTTTCAGATGAAGTTATCAATTGTGAATTTTATTAGTAAAGATATTTTTAATATGAACGACATACTATTGACTCTGATTGTTGCTGCAGCAGACTCTCGATTCAGTGTTGCAAATCACGCAAATAGTCCATTGATACGAGTCAATAGGTAGGTAGCCTTTTATTTTATTTTTAAGATCTAACCACTTGTATTCTAACAACATCCTAGCAAAATATGTTAGACTGGAATGGTAACTTATTTGTTTGATATGTTGCGGTAAGCCCAAGAGGTCTTGGGTCTTCTGTCTGGATTATCTCAGATAACAAAATCATCAAACAATAAGGGCCACTACTTTTTGTGAGGCAGGATATTATTCTTAGTGTCTGACTAAGAATTTACCTGGTAAAATCTGTTTCCTTAATAGATATATTTTTCATACAACTTATACATCATGTTTCCATATATTAGAACTTTTCGCAAGTAGGTATCACTCTGTTTTTTTCTTCAATTTCATTGGTTTTTGTTTTCTACCAAAACTATTTATTAAATTTATATGTATTTAAAAAACTATCAAATTGTACTCATTTTTAATTGAATAGTTAAAATATTGAACGTTAGTATTATTAAAATAAAATTACCGCCACCCTTTCCCTCGTCGTGCGTACTTTTTTTTCAATCTACATAGTATTTTATTTTAAGGTACTTAAATAACAAAATTTCAGTTCTGTGGACTGGTCGCAGGCTTCAGTGGTTGCTCCATTATACTCACTGTACCTCGGAACTTGGAGTGGGATGAAGGTACTTCCAGATGAACGCAAGGTAAGCAATAACATGTCTTTGAACTTAAATTTGTCCCCAATGATCTATGTTCTGATTGGTTATAGAAATAGTTTTTTCTTTGTTTTAGGTACCAGCATGTACTAGGCTCCGCTTAAAACTAATACAGTATTTAAATAAAGCCACCGGCCCTGGCATTATGTTTCCACACTGTGTACAAGTAAGTACTGATATTCTTATATACATATTTCTGTTAATCTTTAAAGTCCTTCTAGATTTAGCAAAATTAAATTGTATAAACTTTGTTTAAGGTTGTATTTTCATCGTTATTCGACGTCAATACTAATTCAAGGCTGCGCAATATGGCGTTAATGTTTCTATTGAACGTCATTAATAAGTAAGTAGTATCTGCTACAGTAAATAATTTGAATCGATCACAAGTGTTTTCACCTGATAATAAAATTGATCAGAAATATTCGCCCCATGCCTCAAAGAGGAAACAGGATTTAATTATGACTAATAAGTTTAAATAACGGACTCTGCAGTTACGTTACTAAATGTTTTTAGAAAATATAATAAAATGATGATACCATATCAATACAATTCTGATGATTCTAAAGGACTAATTCTGTAGATGCAGGTTCAAGTACCGTGTCCTATTTTTAAAAATCTAAATAGATATCTATATTTTACCATCATGTGCAACAACGTAAAAAAAAAAATTAAAGGACAATTCTCTCTTTTTAGTGGAGAAGAGGCTCAGTTGCAAAAAGTGGCGACAATCTTTCTTCGAATGCTGTTGAAACTTATAAGATCTGAGGAGCACGCTGAGCACCACCCTAAGGGTTATATGTGTTTAGGTATTATTCATTATAATATTTACCTATGTATTGATAGTCTAGTTTAAAAAATTCAATGGCCCTATATTTCATAGTTACGTTTTTTGAACGCATGTATCTTAGTATAATCATTTTGTGTGTAGTGTAACATTTTCTGAGTAATAATACTCATCTTTTGAATAACAAATATAACTGTGATTGCTTAATTTTATATAAAAGCTATAATTCGTAATTATTATTTCATAACAAATTCCACAGGGAGATTGGCTATGAAGTGCCCTGAATGCTTCAGCAATCAATTCGCGTTATTAGAGGAACTCGTAAAGAAAATACCAGAGGCCGTACCTGAGATGAGAACAGCCCTTCGAGATGCGCTGTTGGAAATGGCTGTGGCATACAAAATCAATAGTGAAGGTTAGCATACTAAATCTACGTATAACACCTTGTACAGTTAACCTAATACCAATTCTCCAAAAGTGTCCTTTACTAAAGTTTTATTCTATCCATAATATTTCGTTTGGTACGAATTTGAAAGTTGTAGACTATCACCATTTTCAGACCTAGTACCTGAAAAGGAGTCGTCTTCGGAATTAGAACCTGGACCTTCAAAGGGTGAGAAAATGGATCTGGACGAGACCGAGAAGAAAGCTACGCACTTTAATGAACCACAGGCGCTTGCGTTGTTCGCCCTATTGGAACAGTGAGTTTGACTGTCTAACTATGACAAAAAAAATGAATTGAAATCACATTAACTAATTATTAATAAGATAGGCAATGTAATACTTTTTCTGTCTATTTACTGCTTCTTTTCCTTCACATATGTCATCAGTTATCTACTGTAGAATCGTTTAGGTAAGCCCCAGAAGGTGAGATTAAGATATCAGAGATTTAGCCTGTTAAAAGATACAATATACAAAGATGTCTCCGAAAGTGAGTTTGCACCCTGGGTACAGACTTGACTTACTTGATATTTATACAACACTAACAAAATAATTGTGTTAAAAAAATCATTTTTAAAAATTGCTTTATAATATTTAATTCTTGTTTCAGTTATATGCACAGTGACGAACCAATGATCCGTTACGTGGCCATGCGATATTCGGCTGTCGTCTTTCCTCAAGATTACGTTCCCTCAAGATACCTTTTGTTATTGGCCAGCGGAGACAGGTATATATGTGAAGTTTTAAGATGATCTAAAAACTAATAGCGAAACTCTAGTTCTTATAAGAAAGATTATTTCGTCAGCGTATTTTAGTAATAGTTTATATCGCGACATCAATATAAAAAATATTTATGTTGTGGTAGAAAAAAAATATATACACGTTAGTAAGTAAATTATACACATTCAAAATTTATTGCCAGTCTCTACGATTTCTGATTATACTTATAACTACTAAGTTGAATACTATTTAGGCAAAATAATTTTAATAATAAAAAATAGAGAAGAAATGTCAGTGAGTACTACTTTTAGCTGTGCTAATAAGTGCTTGCTGTCACACTCAGTAACGCTGGTTTTTAAACTATTAACATTTTGTATTCGTTTCTTAAAATAGTCAAGACGACGTATCCAACGAAGCTCTCAAATGTTTATACGGAACATCGCGACCGAATGAAATAGAGGATGTTGTGAACAATGTTGTCAAGAAAGAGACAACAACAGTGAATCTAGACGAGGATTCCGCTAAGCGAGATAGAGACACCAAACAGGAGGACGTGTTCAAGGCGCCAAAGTTCAACGATATGGTCACTTACATATGGGATCAAATGCAAAAGAGGAAGAAGGGGAGCAATTCAAAACACAGATTCGTTATTGGCAATCAAGTTTTACAATTTCACCCTCAGACTTATCAAGAGGTTAGTGCTTTATTTAAACAATAAATCAATATAGAGGCGGGTACTAATCCATCCCACGACCGACTGAGAAATATACCTGTGATATTGATTATTTATAAAATATATAAGCTTACTTTGTCACGTCAAGTTGACTTATATTCGTTTGTTAGCTCTAAATTGTTTCAAAATGAATTGATTTGAAGATTTCAGGATTAGTTTGCAACTTTTATTTGAAAGAGTGTGTGTGAAATCCCGTTTCCCCCTCGTGGGGCATTGGGCAAACACATTTTTGTGTCCGTTTCACTGATCCATTCCTTAGCAGGCAAGTGGTTGATCAGACTTCTGTGCCCTGCCCGAACGAAACAATTTTGTGTTTCCTTGGGATTCGACTCCATAAACTCTCCTGTTTAGCGCAATGCTAGGGGCAATACGTTTAACCATTTGGCTAAAGAGGCGGTCTGACAAGAGTAGACATAAGGAAATGAAGGAGACATGTAGAAGGCTGTGACTTACTGGACACAATAGCGACTTGGAAATAGAAATTGTCTGTAAAAATTTTGTTACATAAGTAAATATGCATTTTTTTTGCCCATTTTCCTTTTTTTTAGATTCTGAGATACCTAAGGATGTGTCTCAATCGTGACGCGGATCTCAAAGATTGTTCGTCTCACCCGAACGCTACGTCGCCGCTGTTAGCCAAATACTTTTACGAGAACTTACTCGAATCTGAAACATTGGAGCGGTATTTAACGATGATCACTTCTTTGCTGAACGCTAGTCCAGGTAATTTTTTCGTTGTTCTCATTTACCAAAGAGTGGATTACATTTTTAGGCTTGTATTTTCGTCGCCTAGCTTCTTTTTAATTATCTCTTCTCTGTTTACGCAAAAAAGAAAGCAACTTGATACCTAATCACGAGAAAATAATAATTTACAAAAAAGACAAACTTACGTTCTTTTTCAACTTTCTGTAATTTACGCGGGTACATAAAACAAAAACACTGCGTTTAAAAACATGAAATACGTTGGTAAATTATCAAGATACTGTCGTCTGTAGTTTCCACGAGTAGTACACAAATTAAATAAAATACTTGACGGTTTAAAAACGCGATACATATTTTTGAAAATCATTTTAACTTCCATATATCGCGTTTTAGACCGTTAAAGTGTTTTATTTAAACTTATTAAAAATTCATTTTAACTACGGACCGACGTGTTACATGTTTTGCATTAGCTCCCCTGTGACCACGGCTGCTACTTAGCTGTTTTATTTCAATAAAGTTTTCATTCCAGGTATCATGCCGTTAACATGCTTCCTAGACATAGTCGGATGTGTACCAAACGAAATGGCAGCAAAGTACACAACTTTACTGCCGTTCCTACTAAACTTGTTTACAAGCAGTACCAAGGAAGAGATTCGCGAGACCGCAGCGACAATATTCGCGATAATATTCGTAAATACGAACGAGAAGGCTGCGATCGATAAGCAAATTAAGGAGTTCGTGGTCCAAGGTGTTAATAATAAAAGTTTGGAAGCGCAGTGCGGGTATATCGCTGCGTTCACTAATATGTGCGAGCGATGTATTGTATTGGCAAGGAAAGGAAAGTTTGGAGGCAAAGGCTTTAATCCTGTTAATTGGGAACCTTATCAGGAGGCTGCAGTTGCTTTAGGTAAGGTAAAAACAACACAATAAGACAAAGCAAGAATGGCCTCTATAAAATTTATATTACAAATTTTTTTTTATATCAAGCATTAAGCAGCCGTAACTTTCTTTATAAAACTAATGTAACATATAAAGGCGGACGAGAGTTAATGTGCTAAATACAAATGCGCACATTTCCCTTTTTGGAAAAGTATCGTTATTATAAGTTTTTAATTATAATAAAATATTGAAAATCCTTAAATAAATATGAATTGCAGCTAACTTTCTGTCGCATTCGCAAACGCTGCTTGTCGCGGCTTCAGTAACGGCTGTATCATTACTGGTGCGATGTTCAGCACTGCCGATTCCAAACAGTTCGTCCAAGCAAGACTCAATATTACAAAGCGATACCCCATTTAATATCAAAGATAATTTCCAAGAAGATGGTGAAGTCACCAAGTACTCCGTCGCTGATAGGTTGTTTAAGATTGTGGGAAATGCCAAACTACCCTCCAAAGTCAAAGAGAAGTCTCTGTTTACTTTGGGACTGATGTGTTGTGGAGAACGGCTGCCATTTGCAAAGCAGATGGTAAAAGGTTTTCTTCAGATGGCTAAGGATGTAAGTTTTACGTATTAATTGAAGTTTATTGTGCTTCGGTTTACAACTTCTAATTAACATTTATATGTAACTAATAAATTTATCTTGTTTGTTACAGAGTAAAGAATTTGAGATCCACCTACAAATAGGAGAATCTTTAGTATTGTGCGTCGAAGGAGTGAATTCTAATGAAAGGCGAGATTTGTGGACTGATCTACCGAAAGAGGTATTTTTATTTTTATTATGTATGACGGATGGGACGGATCATTATGGTGTTATTATTATATATTATAGGTACATTTACTTCGTGATAAATCTCAAAATCTTTTAAATTCTAACAAACACCCATTTTGCCCCCGTTTTATGATTACATATTTCTGTTAATGTTTTAGGGCGAAGCGAAAATTCAAGATATGGCTGCTTTGAAGGAAAACGATGAGTTATTGGAGTGGCTTTTGCGAGAGTTGTTCAAGATGGGTCGACATCCTCATCCGCATTCGAGACAGGTGAGAAAGTATAGATAAAAAATGCATTGGATTTGAAACCGTTTTTAAATGATGTAAGTTACATTAATAATATTCTGGTTATTGAAATTGACTATGTTCTTATTTTAGGCAACGAGCATTTGGTTGTTGGCTCTTTTGAAAAATTGCCCAGAACGAGGACCAATCAAGAATTCATTACCGATTCTGCAGGATGTTTTTATGGACTATTTATCGGAAAATAGTGGTAAGTTTATTAATATTTCACAATTTATCAATTAAATTAGCTGTTGAGATGTTAGGAACGTTTATCTATTACTCCATAGAGCTACTTTATTGAATGAAATTAGTAATTGAAAATCGATTATAAGTAAAACCAAGAGCATGACTTGACCCGTTGACGACATCCACAGCGTTCCGTGCTATTGCTCTAAACATTTTGAGCTACCGTGTCCGTGTCAATCGGTTAGAGTAACATCACGGAACACTGGATGCCGGTTCAATGTCTGCCCGTGTCGTAAATTTTATGCAATCTATGAGAATCTTTTTATTTATATAATGCCGTCATGTGCCTAGTGTGAATAGTATTAAAGTTTTCTAAGTATGTAGTTATGATAAATTTAGGATTTTGGGACCTTATATATACAGGTTTAATACACATATGGCGTATTACGTAATCACAAGTGGGAGTAAGAGGGGGCCAGCTGCATTCGGCGGCGTTTGTAGAATGACTATAACCAATATATCGTTGATTATGTTACAGATATCGTACAAGATGTAGCCAGTAAGGGTCTCAGTTTGGTGTATCAGAATTCAGATGAGAGCCAGAAACAAGCGTTAGTGGGGCAAATAATAGATCAATTGACGTCGGGGAAACGTTCCGTAGCGCAAGTTACTGAAGACACAAAGATATTCGAAGAGGGCCAGTTGGGAACAGCTCCTACTGGGTAATTATAATATCTTATAAACACTGAAATCTGGAACATACCATCTTCTTACAATTTTTATCTATTTTATATTTTTACAGGGGCAACCTATCAACATACAAAGAGTTGTGTTCGCTGGCATCGGACTTGAATCAACCAGATTTGTTGTACAAGTTTATGCATTTGGCGCACCACAATTCTGTTTGGAATTCTAAGAGAGGTAAATATTATTATATATTATGTAGTTCAAAATGGATGAGAAATAAAGAAAGAAATATGCTTAGTTGATCCTGGGGTATACAGTATACTAGTCCAGAGTTTGAAAGTAGGTCGTATTGTTGTCTTTCTCGTGGGTCGGAAAGGACGTAATGGACCTAAAGGACATTAACATCATTTCCTACGCAAGAGAACGATAAAAATAATCTACATTGTATACTTACATGATATTCATTGTTGACAACATTACATCTCACAAGTACTATAATTACTTACATAAAATATTAATGCAGGTGCGGCGTTTGGGTTCCACTCCATAGCGTTGCAAGCCGGAGCACAGTTGTCCGAGCACTTGCCAAAGATAGTTCCGCGTCTCTATCGCTATCGATTCGACCCCACGCCACGAATTCAAAACTCTATGGCTAGCATATGGCATGCAATTGTACCGAATACACAGGCAACGGTAAGATATAGTTGAATATCTATGAATTAAAATATATTTAATTATCAGTTCAAACTAAAACTTTGTGTTTCAGGTTCAAAAATATCATAAAGAAATATTAGCTGATTTAACAGCCAATTTGACTTCGAATCAGTGGCGAGTTAGAATGTCTTGTTGTAACGCACTGTCGGATTTATTAAGGTAAATTCCTTCTAATTTAGCTACATCGAATTTTCAAAAATTATAATTTATATTGATATTTATAAGATTTTTTGATCATCAGGGGTGCAAAGAGTCTTCACGAGTCGTTAGAACAACTGCCCTCTATCTGGTGTCAACTGTTCCGTGTAATGGACGATGTTCACGAGGGTACACGCCAAGCTGCCACATCGACCGCCAACGTTTTATCTAAAGTAATTATTGCGTTATCCTGCTCAAAGGACCATTTTTCATTTTGAATATTGATTGATGGCCTAGTATTTCTAAAACCTTTTACATGTAAGAGATTCTTTCTTTTTTAATTTTAGCTATGCATTCAAGCATCGGATGTGAGTCAGGGTAAAGACGGGAAGGAAATTGTTTCCGTAATCCTTCCCGTGCTATTAGATACAGGGATTACTAATCTAGTCAGAGAAGTAAGGAGCGTCAGGTAAGTTGAAACAACAAATTATAATATCAAAGATTGAGGTGAAAAGGGGGTGGGGGAGGGGTTAGTCTTCGCCGTTACATAGAGGACATTAAACTGTAGAAAAAAACACATTTAGTGGTATTTGCTATTAGTTTGATGGTAATTGATTCGCGATTATAACAGTAAGACAAAGTAGTAAAATTTACCATTTATACGGCATACATAAAGATTTCCTAAACATTGTCTTATGACAAAAATATATAAATTAATAATTCCTTTTCTAGTTTACAAACTGTATCAAAACTAGTCACAGCGGCTGGGTCGAGTTTGACACCGTTTTTGGGACGCCTAGTGCCCGCTCTGCTATCAGCTGCCGGCGATCTCGAGTCTGCCAAGTTGTCTTACCTGAGCACAGCATTAGCGGATAGTGGCTCGCGCGAGTTGCTCGACGATATGCGTGCGAATGCAACACGCCAACATTACACCACTGATACTGTTGTTAAGGTAAAATCTGTTTTAAAAGTAGACTTTTTTAATAATTTATTTTATTTTGTAAGATTGTTATTATTTATTTATTACAAATTATAACTGTGTATTGTAAATACTTTGTATTATGATTATCTAGAAATGCTATTTATAAAAGAAAACCTAGAACCGAGTAAATAAATATACTAAATATTGTTTTATTATAATGTTAGGACTCGTATGTGAATATCTTATTTGTAATAGATTGTATGGTATAGTTTTCAAAATGCAATAACATTTTAGTGTATGCCATACATCGACATCGAAGTCATGAAAGAAATGCTGCCGAAGGTTCTGGAACTATCGAAGTCGCCACAGCTCGGTACTAAGGTCGCCTGCGCACATTTCTTAGTCCTAGCGGCTCACTACTTACGCGTAGATCTAGAACCCGTTGCTGGCAAGATTATGCCGAGCTTATTGAACGGTACCTTTGATAGGAATTCTACAGTCAGAAAGAATTATGCAGAGGCGCTTGGGCAAGTCTCTGCGTTTGCTAAGGTAAGTTTTCAATGAGATTTCTCGTATTAGAATTAATATTTTTATTTAATTATTGTTGACGGTCTAATGTAGGCCCTAGTTATGTTGAATTCACTGATTACTGACTAGTAGAGTTTAAGGACTCCATCACAGAAACTATTTTTTATAATTCTTATAAACTTGTGCTTAAAATGCGAAACCTACTTGTAATAAATATAGGGAATTAAAAAACATTGAGGCTAATTTTAATAATATTTTCCATTCCCATATCTCATTTATTAGTAGAAAAATAAAGGCGTTATTCTTAATACATTTGTGACTTAGAAATCTTTTATACTTTTCATCAGTTTTTGCACATGATGGCATTATGTAATTAAAAATCGATTATAATTTGAGAAAAAATATAACTGCCCATGTCGTATTTTTTTTTTCATGACTTTTTGCACTTTCCTACTTCTATGCTGGTTTTTCGCAGACACAATCCATTGAGAAGCTAATGAAGAAATTAGTGAATTTGTATGAGACCAAAGAGGATGACTCAGCACGTTCCGCTATCGCACTGACTCTCAAGTCTGTAGCTAAAGCCAAGATTGAACACATCAAAGACAATGAAGCTGTTATAGCGCCTATTGTGTTTTTAGCGATGCACGCGCCTAAAGATAATGGTGAGGTTTTGTTTATTTAGTATAAAGATTATATGTACCTGTTCCTTGGAGCAAATCGTGTAAAAGAAACAACATGACAGACCTCATGCGCTTAACGCAATGCTGGGCGACACGTTTAACTGTTAAGCTACAGAGGTGGAAATATCGATAAAATAATAGAGATGATATATAACAAAATCATATTGAAAAAAATACTGAACTGAAAAAAGCCTATTACACACATAAACATAATCATACATGCAGTGTTCACGTTCTCATGCATAATTCTTGGCGGTGTTAATTTATTGTATTTTTTCAAATTTCTTTTATAGAAAGTAACACAGTTGAGATGTTTGAAGAAATATGGACAGATATAAGCCCTGCTCGAGAAAGTGGCATTAAGCAGCATTTGCCCGCGCTTAGAGAGGAGATTGAAAAGGCGCTCAACTCTAGCAGTTGGACTAAGAAAATACAGGTATACTGCTGAATAATTTAAACCTTAACGTAATAAGTATAATGTTTTTATTAATTCGTTAAAATATCCTAAAATAAAATTCCAAATTCCAAATCGTCCTCCCATCTGGTTTCACTGGTCACACTCTATTTTCGTGGATACCGGTTGATTACTTCGTCCATTTTTTAGTGTTTCTGATGATTTGTCCTGTCCATCGCCACTTTTGGCGGCTTATTATCGTAAATATCTGATATAAAATATTAATGTGTTTCTAGGCTGCCAACGCAATTAAAACAATATGCAAAGAGCTGTCTAGCGGTCTGGGAGAACAACGAGAAGTGTTTATACGATCGTTATTAGCTGCAGTTCACGGGAAGACGTTCGACGGCAAACAGCATGTGGTGGAAGCCCTTGCCTTATTGTGCAGGTAACTTTACGTCAAAAAGTTATTTCCTTAATCGCATCCCTTTAATTAATAGTTAAAAAAAAATTACTTGCTGGCTTAAAAAATAATTTGAAAGGTCTTTGTATAGGATTCTGGTATTAATGCTTTAGTATAATTGACGAATTCTATTAAAATAAAACACTTAAACGGTTTCAAACGCGATATATTAGTTAAACTTATTTGAACATGATTTTTAACTTCGGCTCGACGTTTCGGATGCTTTGCAGCAGCCGTAGTTAATGTAATTTCCAAATAAGTTAACCTAATATATCGCGTTTGAAACCGTTTAAGTGTTTTATTAAACTATAGAGAGTATTTGAATAATTCTATATTTAACAAAACAAGGACATGTACTCAAGAAATGTGAGAAATAACAGGATTTGAAAACATTTAACGCGCTTCAATATCTACGTTTAATTGATCTATTTGTTATGTATAAACGTAGTTTAGCGGTTAAATTGTTTAGTAGATGTTGTTTAGCTGTGGTATTTTACCTGCCATCAAATAAACCCCACGCTAGTCTATCCTCCTTTATCATAAAAGAAAATCCTTGCAGTGTAAAAGACGGCGAAAACGCAGTCTCCCCCGCCATAGCGACCGAGTGTATTAACGCGTTGCTAGTGGAGAGTCGGAAGCAAGAGATGGTCTATAAGAAGCACAGTATTATCGCGTTGGCAAGTGCACTCGCTGCCACTAACTGCAACGTTTTCAACCAAGTTTATGACATTGTGAAGGTCATTTTATCAAAGGTCAGTTATTTATACGTTTTATTAAATAAAAACAATTTTGTGCCATATTCTTTAAGTTATAGAGATGAAGATCCCATTTTGTTTATGTTTCAATAATAGATACTGATAGTCTTGTTTAATTTGTAGTTTGCGGGATTGGTATACATTTAAATAAACGCATTTGAACTGTTTAAAATGCCAAATTTAACTAATCTACAATTTATTTTACGAAACGTCGTTAAAATAAATTGTAAACAATTTTAGTATCGTTTATTTAGATACCGACAGTTTTTTTACTTACGATAAGACCTCTTCGATTATAGTAACTTTAAGTTTTATCTTTTGTTTTGAGGTTGAAATCCATTGAAAGAAATTCTATATAGTAATAATTTACCATATCTCTATGTATGTAATGACAAGTGAACAAATTTCAATATTTTTTAAGTATTTCAATAAGATTAGTAAGATCTGTATTTTAACAGATATATGACCAGAATAATACCATAATATTTTAGAATACTCGCATCTGACAAATTAGTGAGCCTTTTTAAAATGTTATTTTATCAACAGGACGAGTATTCGATGGAGAAAGACTCCGATGACGAAGACAATGAAACATCGCGGCAGAGACGCGAACAACTCACCGCTCTTAAGGAAGCGGCATACGAGTTGCTAGGCAAAGCTTGGCCGAAAGACCCGGATACACAAGGTCAGAAATGCCAGTTGTTGTTTTTTTTAGGTGCTTTTAAGGATCTTACGCGATTTTTTCTCCAATAAGGAAAATCAGACATTTTCCGTAGCCATTATAGGAAACGTCACGTTTAGTTAATAATACAGTATCTAACAATTATAGTTACTTATGAGCATTATTTAGACTGTTTAAAACGCGAAAACGTTTAACCAATCGTTGCATCGAATGAGCTGAGCTACATAATTATTTTCTTTTCTTAAACACTGTTCACAGTCTTTATAAGAAAAGATACTTTTTTATGGGCGTTTACTATTCAAACCAAATAACTTTTCTTCACGTGTTTTTAAATTACAGAAAAATATCAAGACGTATTCTTCGAGCACTGTTCCAAGTCGTATCCCGGCAGTTCCCGTTCTACGCAGTTGGCGATTTTAGCAGGCGTGGCGAGAGTCTTGGAGCGGCTGGTGGTACTCAACGTGGAGCCAATGGAAACTGACAATATGGCCCTTGGGGGGAGGGATAAGGCGATTACATCAGTCACCTCTCACGTGGCGAATATCGTAGAATATACCCTTAGTAAGTTAAAGTTTGAAATATGTTTTGCTAACTTCCAATAATTTTATCGTTTTTAGTCGATTATTATAAAAAGCTGTAGTCATTTTAATAATATTATGAATAGTAATGCTGTTGCAAAATATGTACTGTAATGTAACATACATACATTAAATAATACTTAAAATTGTCTTGCATAGGTGAATGCAGAATCTTTGATAATAATATTTTTCTTTACTTAAAAAACATAAGACTTGCGGGCTTCAAATATTTATTTACTATTTCCAAAAAGAACAACGTTACGATTTTTTTTCTTAGCCAAGTTCCTGCAACACGATTTTTGTAAAAGGATAATAAGTTTATTTCATTTTATTAAGTGTTAATGAAATTTCTGTTTCAGAAAACAGTAACCAAGTACGACATAGGAGGGATGCGTTGAATATTATGGAGATCCTTATCAAACGTTTAAAAGGTGAGAGTGAATTATAGTTGTGTTTCCATTTAAAATGTAATATCTATTTATTTTGATACGGTGAAGAGGGCGTTGTTTGCGTGACAAATTTCTATGTCATTGATCAGTTTTATTGAAAGGCAAGTATAGTTGATCTGCCGTCTGTGCCGGCCCCGACCGAAACAATCCCTGCTAGGCAACTACTTCAGCTAAAGCTAATGTTTCACTAATCTATTTATTCGTACTGGTAAGTACCAGGGAAGTCGCTCCATTCGGACCCCCACACAGTGCTTATTATTAAATTTTCACTTCCGAGGTGATATATATATTTATTGTTTTGCAGATCTGCAAAAGCCTGAAGAATTGGATAAGCTTAGGCAAATTTACCAGACCTATGCCCAAGATCTGTCAAAGGATTCGTCACACGAACTGAGATCTAAAGTAGACAGTATAAAAGTGTACTTCAAATAATTGTATGATTTTTTAAATAAATATTGTAGAAATGAGACGAGGTTTTATTAATAACATTTTATTCACGTCACTTAAACTATGGAATGAAACAATAACAATAAAATGTAACGCAATATTATTATACTTGGATAATTGTACATTATATAGCTGTCAATATATTTTTTATAAACATAATGGGGCTAGGGCTGACGTGTAGTCATAGACTATTTTTTCTACCCGTAGCTCCACATATAAAAAAATGAAAATGCGACCTTTCGGATTTTATTGTCCTATGAACGTTTAAACAAAACGTTAAACGATTTAAAACGTAAAATGTAATTATTTGTAAAATTTATATTTGTTTTTATTTCTACAACTCGACGGAGGATGTTTCGCGTTTTAAACCGTTAAAAGTGTTTTATTTATTACTCGCGTAAACTACAGAGAATGCTCTTTTCCATGAGCTGTAAGATTTATTGGTAGAATATTGTGGTGGTATTGATAAGCCATAATAAACCCTAAAAGTGAAAAGATTTTGTATTATATTGAGTTTGCTGTACATAAAATGCCTACAGACGTAGAAAATGTATTTTCGTGTTTATAGTTGTCCTATGTAATATTTGAGGTATTGTTCACAAATATGAAAAAAAATACAGAATTCATTGCATAAGAAATAAGCCACTTCTAAGTAAATCTAATTTAATCTCTCACGTATTAAAGGTGCTAAGAATAATTATTACATTTATTTATCAACACAACATATAATAATTTAAATTGATACTACTATTATATTATTTATAAGTATGATTAGAACACGCACATTTTTATAAAACCTAGATATTAACACATTTTCGTCGCAAAGTTAGAACTCAAATATAACTGTAATTTATGTAAAATTTTGTAACGTCTTACTCAGAACATAATATTTGCCTAATGCATGGCATATAATGGTCAAGATTTTACTTAATCCATAGTGCATTGGAAAAAAATAAATGTTTGAAAAGGAAAACTTAAATACATTAAACTTTGAAAACTATCACAAACGGTAACTTGTTTCTCAAGCCTTTTCTTAAAGAGCTAAAGTTATTTAAAACATTAAAATCTTTTTGTGTAGGGGAATCCCCCAGAAATGTATGTCATGAAAAAATTCCTTTATATATATTTTTTCTTGATAAAAAAGGACAGACAAGCATGAGGTTCATTCGATTGTAGATAATATACCCCAGCCATATAACATCTAAACGAGATGTGCTGTCGATCTATTCCAGATATCCGGAAATTCACATCCGTGGACGGTGGTTACTCGTACGGAACTTCGATACTAGCAAAATTATTCGACGTTCAATTTATTTAAAAACTTTATAAGCTCTCGCCAAAACATTAAATTCATTCTTTTCACACTCGATATCCTGCGGTTGACATATTTTCTAGTACTAGAAAAATTAAATATCGCTTTACCAAGCTGTACAATATACACTAACACTCAATTTATGACGAATTTAAACCCTGATGTGATCAGAGAATTATCCTAGACATATTCTAAACACTATTCTATTTATTAGGCATAGACTATTGTCTATAGTATAAAACACTAAAATTGCCCTAAGTTTCTCCTAAATCAATGACTACACAGCACTGTTTCATCACCAAACTCACGTAACCTGCAATGCATATATCAAATATTGGTAAAGTACTTTGCTAAGAAACATATACAATTTTTTTAACTAGAAATGACAGGCAAGAGTATAATTTTAATTTCAAAAAAAAAGCATTTACACGATTGAGACACAGACGATAGTATTTTGAAATTAAGCACTTAACGTTTTAAAAGGCGAAACTGTGACATAACCGCTGCAAGCTTTCGGATGCGTCGGGTCACTAACATAAACTGTAAATAAGTTAATAAATACATTTCGCATATTAAACTGTTTTATTTAAATGTGTACTCGCGTAAACTACAGGCAGGGCGTTTAACATGTCTCAACACGAACTAAATAAGCCGTCTGACAGTACGGCCAGCAGAGCAACGGTAAACATGGACTAAAATCATTACTTCATTGATTTTCATACCTTAAACATCATCAAAAAGGCCCCTCGGCGGCATCGTCAGTTTGTCCCGCCTCCGGTCTTCTGTCCTAACAGCGGGCAGCGTGCTTTCGCCGAAACGCCGGTCGATTTCGTCTTCGAGCGCCATATTGGGTCGGTTGTACGGCAACTCGGCTCTCTGGTAGAGGTGGGGATCTGGCTGGCGTTCTGGCGACGCGTAATGGTCCGACCCGATATCGTTCAGGAGCCCGGTGCGGGCTGTAAGGTGACCGACATGCACAATAACTGGATGTAATTATGCTTGTGATTTGAAGACAATTTTTAAGCTGGGAATCACAAGCATGGAGAACTGAGGACTATTTAGCTAAAAGCTGAACCTTATCTATACTAATATAGAGCTGCAGAATTTGTTTGAACGCGCTAAAGCCAGGAACTGGGTCGAATTGAGAAATTATTTTTGTGTTCCTCAAATTAGCGCGTTAGTATAGATATACCTAATGCAAGGTTTATAAGCTTGATGCGCAAGCGATTGTATAGCGATACTACCTCCATCATTTTCCCGCGCCGTGCGGTACTGTGCGAACCGCTCGCTGTAGTCTCTCCGACGTGACATCGATTCCTCTACGCGCTGGCGACGACGTTTTTCTGTATAATTAATGCAACTTTAGTAGAGCAATACAAAAAATTACATACACGCATCATACTTATCAACTTGTTACCTGTGAAAGTAACATTACCAATGTGCCTTTAAAAAAACACTTAGCGGTTGAAAACGCAAATTATATTGCTTAATTAACTACGTCCAGGCGTTCCGGATTTGCAGCATTTCAGCGTGGTACGTAGTGAATGATAAGACTATAAGGAAAAATAACATTTATAGGTCAGAGAATGAGACCTACCAATGGATTAAAACGCCTTGTTTTTACAATTTTGTCTTAAGGAGTAGATAAAATATACAATATAGAATATCTGATTTTTTTTTAACGAGAGATACCTTTTACGCTAGGTAGATTTATTACGCTAACCAGAGATCAGTAGTAAATTCAAATGGTATGTGGCTAACCTCGTTTGACAATCTCTCGTCCTTCGTCCACCAAATCCGTGGTGAGATCGTCATCTCCTACGAACTGCTGGAAGCCGCAGAGCGAGAGCAGGCGACTGCCCAAGGAGAAGTAGGTAGCGAGGCAGAGCAGTATCACCAGCATGGGAAAATATATGTTGAAACCCTCTGCTATGATGCGCAGGACATCCATGTGACCCATGATCTATACGATTGATTAGATTCTTCATAGAAATACAGCAAAAACTACCAAAAGTTTATTTTTGCAACTAAAAGCTTTATATTGATAAAAAAAATCTACAACCTTAGTATGGAAAACCGGTTGAGATTGTTCTATCTTCTTTTTATGATAGAGAAGGACAGACAATATGACATCTAAACAAGATGTGCTGTCGACTTATTTTGGCTTTGGATATTCAATAAGTAATTTTTTGTATTATAAATAAAAAATGAAAATTACTAGACCATGTGAATCAGTTTGTACTAAATATAAATAACTCTCACCTGTGTATAATACGTTTCCATAATCCTTTGAGTAATTATATGCGAGTCCAGATGTATTAGACTTAAGAAGTTGAGACACATAGCCGGTGTAAGACGGCACACCATCATGCCGGAGAAGATCAAACTGTATTCATTCGTCTGATGATGAGGTGCCAAGTAGTACAAGTTGAGGACCCTAATCTTCAGCACCGTGGAGTACGCACAGTAGAAAATGTAGCATATTATCAATGTTGAAATCGTCTGCAAGAGGGTATTGTGACAAATATCAGGCAAACAATCGTAGAACTTTCGAAATCATTACTGAGACTAAGTTTTGTGACTAGAAATAATTTTTTCCTTTTAATTCTCAAGAAATAAATAACAAAGTAAATTTAGTATATAGTTTACTATTAGTGGCAATTTATATGCAACTATATGTACACTGTACGTACGTACACCAGACAATAGCTTTAACTAGTTACTACAATAGACTAGAATTTTTATCCCCATTTAAGTAAGTAATTATTTTAGTAATGGAATAATTTATCTGTTAGTTTTAGACACAAAATTTAAAAATGGGCTTGGTGCAAGGTAAATCAACGTATAAATTTAATGGAAAAAATATAGTGAATAGACATATAAAGATAAACTGGTCAAGCCAGTTCAAAAGTGTATATTATATAGTAACTGACATGAGTATGTCTTAAATTACATTCTTACTTACCACAATAGCTATATAGTTGAAATTTTTTCCTGCAGCAGAAACGATGTTTGCAAAAATGGATAACACTGGCTGTTTATTGAAGAATGTCACTTCAGACCAGACGACCATCACAGATAATATGCAGGTTACAACTGCCATTGCCTTCAGGAAGTATTGTTTCAGGAAACATTCCCAATACCATTCTGGAAGTTACATAAGATGTGATATTTTGGCGTCTAACATTTTAATTTAGTTTTAAGAGTCTTATTCATATATATTGTACCACAAAATTAATTACAAAAATAGAATTATTTTATTTTTTATTTATTTATTAAATTTTTTTACATACATAATTCTCAATAAGATAAATTACAACTGGTAATAAAACTGTCTTGCAGTTTATGCATACAATTTTTAGTAGACCAAAATTTTTTTAAATCCCTCTCCACTTCTTTAACAAACCGTAATTTTAAAAAAAATAGTGCCAGATACTTTTACCATGCGAATTGCTCGTCACAGGCATTTCGTACCTGGGTAAGTAAGTTACTAGGTCTTACGTTATACTGGAACGACAAAACGTTTTCAATTGCATCATATCATAGAAAAAAATATGAATCTACTTACCCACGATAGGCGGATAAAAGAGCCTCTGCAACCGAGGCCGGGGCGTATGAAAAGTATGTTGAAAACGTTTGTCTGGTGACCGACAGTTGCTAGATATATCCTCGAGGTGGTAGATTCTTTCCAGCATTAAGCCATACTGTGTTTCAGTACGTTGTAAGACGTGCAGGGCTTTAATGGTCTGTAAAGGGAAAACAATAATATTATGAGTTTTTATAATCACTGATTTTTGGGCAATATATTTTACGTTATTTTAAAAGCAGTTACAGTTGATAACTTTAACAATACCTTTTTATGAAGATTAATCAAGCTCTTCAAGGATGGTGGTGGAGTTCTTTCTGGTGGTGGTCTAGCATTGAGCTTGTCTCTTAGCTGCACCGGCAGTTTCTGCACTATTGTCTCCACATGACGTTGCAAGGGATGCCCTGAGCCAATAGCAGCTGTCACGCAATTTAAACTCTTAAAGAAAAATTTACATGCTTATTATTTTACTATTTTGAAGAGCTTGTTGGTTGTAAGGTCTAATTAGGTCGAACATGTTTCTAATTTATAATTTTTCTGAAATATGTTGGGCTTGGTCTGTGTAATCTATGTATTTTATTGTGTTTCTGTTTCAGTCTGTCGATTTTCAAATATCCGATGCCAAAGTAGGTTGACAGTGCTTCTTGTTTAGATGCTACATGCTTGTCTGTCCTCTATCATTAAAAAAATATTTCCTTTTACTACTACTTATATGACTGAGTATTACTGAGTACTAATTGTTGTAAGCCGGCAATGGTAACTTGAAGAATTTAACATGATATGACATAAGAACAAAACTTTTATATACTGTAGCTTTTGGGAACACTCAACAGAAACTGATTTTATCATTATTATAAAAAGAGATATTTTCTACTAGATAATGTGAGAGTACTGACAAACAAATTTAATATTAAAAGACAAATTTTTGTCAAGTCTAACTTTAATTACCTCAAGAATATCATCAATTGTCTCCTCAGCCTCAAATTTATCTGTACTCAATTTAGCAATTTTAAAATAGCAATACGTAAGTGTGTAATTCTTCTTCGAATTGTTCCATAGGTTTCTCGGCACTTCAACAAGAGCATATCCGAGAAGCAAAATTAGGAGAAACAATCCCCAAGTGTTACTCGCAGTAGATGCAATAGCTTTAATCTTGGGACGATCAAGTTGGACACCCGATGTAAACGCAAGGTATATGAGGAGTACTCCACAGATAAATAAATAGGAGCCATAGTATATTGCATTATCAACCAATGCAGATTTTAGTTTCCCCTTGACAGTAAAATCACCCGCTTTACTGTAAGACTGCATCATGGGCATTATTAACCTGCAAGTGATAAGATTGTGTCATAGGTGTCATGATAAAACACTTCATGTAAATTCCTACTTAAGAATCATACAAAATAAGTGTTTGTACTATAAATGCTAAACTTCATTAATATTTCTAGGCTACATTGAGAACTTAACTTACCATTTAAGGCATCTTAACCCTTAAATGGTAATTCTTTGAGTAATTTAAGGGTATGGTTTACAAAATCAAAACATAATAAGTAAAAATAGCTTTTCTAGCAATAAATACTATTCCACAGACAAAGATGTTTTAAATCTATATACAGCACTACTAACCATGTCAGACATTGTGATGTCCAGTATACTACTTTCCACAGACTAGGAAATACTGTGTCAGGCCAGGATTTGGGGCATTCACTACCAGGCGCAACTGTAGTCGTTTCACCTTGGACAAGGGGTAGTGATGTAGTTGTATTTAAACATTGATGTGTTCTATATACAGTCTGTAAATAAAGTTAAATTAAGAAATAATACTAACCCAATTGGAAATTTATCAATCCCTTTATATAATCAAATGTTGTGAGAAGTTTTAATTTCAAGAAGTAATACTATTTTTATGTAAAGAACTTGATCAAGTTATTGCAAGCAACTCACCCATGATATATCCAATGGCAAGATAAACATAATCAGAAACGAGAAATACCATGCTGTCAGTACAGATACTGTAACTATTACATGATTTCTATAGCAGTCTCCATATCTGTACAGTAATGTAGCAGCAAGTATTAATGCTGATATAATCTCAATAATAAATAGTGTATAATACATTTTGCTTATGATCTAGTTTTGCTTTTTGTTTGCTGACTTTTTCTGTTCCTTCCAAGCACGGTGTGCTTCGTCTTGAAGTTCCTCGTAACGTATTTGAGTAGTGCTTTTCAAAGGTAAAAGTATTGGGCGATCTATTTCATAAGTAGCTGGACATTCTTCGAAGAAAAAAATGCCTGTCTCCGGTAAAATAGGGTCAAATACGATTGGTTTCTTCTCTTTAGGTTCCTTCTCTGACATTTTATGAATAACTCTTGTAATGAATCATTGTTAAACAATAAAAATCTTTTTCGAGTCACTTAAAACGAATGCACATAATTATGTACGGATCCTGAAATATTTATTTTACTATTGAATATAAATTTAACACTATAAATATTATACTGATTAATATAAATTATGAGCGCAATGCAGAAAAATAATCACAAGTAATTGATTATTTGTATGGATTCGACAAAAAGTTGTAATTTATACGTTTTCTGACAGCTGACATTTACAGTTTGACTAAAAATAATTATTTCTGACATTGATCTTAACCATAGACAGGAAGAACGAACATGAAAATTACATTATTCCACAGAATATAAAAAAAAATTTAATTTTAATCTTAATAAATACCCGTATACATACAAATATGTACAATTAATTGAAACCTACTAAACAAACTATATCTTTAGTATATAACTATTAATGTAAGACTACATCAAAATCGCTTTGACAGTACTCCATTTTCACGTTCAAACATACATTGCGGGTGACCTAAGTGAAGTAATAGTCTTATTATCTGCAGTGATAGCTTCATTTGTCTAATTGTAGCATTAAGTGTGGCGAATAATGAATGGGTAGTGGGTTCAATACTCACCTGGACTACACATGATTCCAATCAATTAAAAAAAATTCTGAAACATGTTGGACTTCTGGAAATCTCAAAATTATATGGGTTGTATGAATATTTAAATGACGTCCGAGTCACGAACCACCGCTCACAAGTTAAAGCGCGTGGACTTCCGAGTGTCGAAGGGCAAAATGCGTCGAAGTTTGTATGTTATATGAATGAGGTTATGTATATGTTATATATATCACTTGCCGTTCAGCGAAAGCCACGCTTATCTGTCCTCGTCTATCGTAAAAAAATACCACAGTTGCTCTTTATATTATAAAGCTTTTACAGATTTTTTTTATCTGAACACCTCAAAATTATCATCATGAATAAAGGGAGCTATTATTACCTACGTTTGCAGCAGTTTCAGTAGTTTTCCTTGTTGATAGTTGATATATATTTTAATAGTACTTTGAAACAGAGAGGCTTAATTATTTTATAAAACTCCGTAATAACTTCCTATTCACCTACATAAAAATGTCTGCGAAATAAAAAATACCTTACGGTAAAATATCTATTCATCTTTATTGCATAAAATCAGGCAAACTTACCCAATGTACCTACAACAAGAATATAAGTATCTCTTTTAATATTATTGTATACAAAATAAAACCTATTACTTTCCAATTGTATAATTGTACATACATGAAATCCAATGTTAACAGGTTACAGCAACATAAGTTGTATCATTGAAAAATCATATATTATTTTATAATATCGTAGTTACCTTTTTTAGTACCCGAAAACATCTGTGCCAATTTTCACATGTTTTTGGAAGACATTGGATTAAAAGTTAACACGATAAAGTAACAAATAAACAATAAAAGTCGACCTAATATTATTAACATCGCTTAAGAGGAAGTAAAGTGAATTTGGGACCCAATTTTTTGATACATAAAACAATTCAAAAGAAGATATGAATTGATTTAATATTTGAAATGAAAAAATGAGAATTTCTGTTATTATTATTTATAGACCAAGGCTTCACTTCCTCTGACATCGGAGTGTTATCAATTCGTTAATTAATAACCTTTCTCCAAAAAACCCAATGTCAAAGAGCACCATTCCTAAAATATTACGAGATAAAGATAGTTGAGCAGAAGTTAGTAAAGCTAGTTACTATATAATATAGCCTATAACTAACTTATTTACATTATTTCGTAGAGTTAATTCAGAGTTTCTTGCTTATAAAATATACATTATCAATCGATTATTCTTTTTGTAGAATTCAGTATGTACTACAATATCGTATAATTTGGTAAATGGATATTGAAAGAATGTACAGAGAATTATTTACACAGAGAGGTAAATATTTTTCTTACATTATTTCTACATTAATACATACCTACTTGGAGGATAACTTTTTATTGTTGGTAACTATATCCAATAACAAATATCCTTAGAACCTATACTATATGTTAATTATGACTGTCAGCTTATAAGTATTTTTGTATCAGCACGTGTACATATCGTCCATCTATATTAATCAGACACATCTTCCCCCCTTTACAATTCATTTACACGTCTTACAGCTACAACTATATTTACAATGTTTTTAGTATCTTAATATTGGCATGCTTGTATTTATATAGTACTAATTTCGTATTTTCAGAAACTCACTGTTAAGACAAGAACAATAAATTGTCCTTTCCCTTTGATCTCAATGCAATTTACTTTAAAAAAAGTTTAGTTTGAAGTATAGTATACGATTAATTGTTCATTAATATTTAGTATGGTTAATAGTTAGATAATAAAACAAATTTCTTGCAAGCTTTGACTTGGCAGTCACATTGCTTTATCAATCAAAATGGCGATTGTCAACCAATTTACCATCCTATTTAATCGCAATTGAAACTAATAGGCCGTTTTAACCGCCAAAGTATAGCTTTACACCGCATTGTGTTTTTTTTGAGTTTTTTTTTAAAAAACCCCGGGGGGGGGGAAAAAAACAAACCCAACAAAAAGGGTTAACCCCCGGCCGGTTCGGGGACTTTTTTGAGCATTCACTTTGTTTTTAGTCTATGGAATATCATCATATAGGATTTAATAGGAAATATTTTAACGGGCGTAATGCGTTACGCTGCTCTCGAATACGGCCTAAAGAGTATAGTACAGTCTTATAAAATACAAGCATAGCAATATTTTTCAATTCACTCCACTTTTTTATGAACCCCGTTCGATATGCCATTAGTCATAACGCCATTTTTGTGATTCGCAACACCATTCGTTTGCGTCGCTTTTATCGAGCCGTTGACTACTTTCGTCTTCTTCTCTGGTTTGCCATACGCCTTGTAATAGAAGTCGTAGAAGAGATAATAGAAGAATATTGAGTTGGGGAGAGTGAAGACCACCGACCAGCGTGGGTAACCACAGTCGTAGAACAGTAGTTGCGACGAGTGAATGAACGTTATGCAGAATTGAAGCTGTAAAAAAAAACGATATGTTATCCACAAAAATAATGAAATCCTGTTTCTCCCTATAGAGTTATGGGGCGAACACATTTTTGTGTTCGTTTCACTGATCTATTCATTAACTGGCAAGAAGACCTAAACAAGATTTTGTTTCCCTGAGATTCAAACCCAGGACCTCTCGCACTTAACGCAATGGCTGATACAGAGGCGATCCTTTATCCACAAAAAGTTGAATAATAAATAAATAAATCCGTTTAATTTGTGTCGGCCAGGCATCCGTTGCGTAAAAATACTGGTAAAATGATCGTAACTTAAAAATTATGACCGTTTTAGCATAAATCTTGGGTGTGTAGGCGTTATCAAACATAAGTATGATTTATTACGAGTTTTAAACGTTAAGAAGGTAACCCGTTTGCTGAAGCATATGTAACAATTTAACAAATTGGGACTATTTTTAATTTTAGTTTACGCTATGAAACATACGCAAGACATAACGTGTTCTCATATTAAACTTTTACTACACGTGGGTAGATTGCGAGAATGGGTGTCAAAAATGTGCAGGATTCAAAGACTCACCATTTGCATAGTAGTAATGTGTCGTTTCCAGAATAAGTATCTCTGGAATTGTGGTCCCATGGCTGCCAGCATATAGTATGTGTACATTATTATATGAACAAATGAGTTGATAACGCCGATGAGTGTGCCATGGCCTCCAGGGTAGTATTTCGTGGCTCCCCACGATATCATGGGCATCACAGTGTGGTGGTACAAATGGAGGAATGTTATCTGTCTATCCTTCTTTCTTATTACGAAGAATACCGTGTCTAGAAGTTCTGTCATCTTCGCGAGGAAGTAGATGTAGACGCCCCTTGCAACCTGAAAAAACAATTGAATAAAGAATTTGCTGTACAAATCAAGTGATTAGAAATTTATCTTCTAGATTTGTTTGCTAAATTTTTTAAGCTTGCTTTAGTAGGGACTTAGAGCTTAAAGAAAATTCGTATCAGATTCGTATGCAAAAGTTATAATTATAAATATATATGACACCTCAAAATGTCGCGTTAAGTTAAAACCCAATTAAATCGTGTTTAATACAGTTAAAAAGTATTTTATTTGTAATTTAAACGAAGATCGGAAGTATTGCGCGGTAAGTTATTGAATATGAAACTCGTATTATTAATAAACGCAAATAAATGATGTACATAAGAAAATGTGTTATAAAATCATTGTATTTAATTAATTCAAAACGTAAATTGCGTTCGTGACTGTTAGAAACGTGCTGGATGTGATGATGCAACACGACGCCAGTACATCCAGGATATTTCAAAAGGTTCACAGTTACAGAGAGAATCATTAACTGGGATATCCTTTGTATTTCTTGCACATTTTATATAGGAAAATAACACAAAATTAACTACTTATATGATTTTTCTTTCGACGCAAAAATTGACATGTAACATTATTGTATGTTTTCTTTTTTCTTTATTTTTCACTTTACTTATAGTGAACATAAACGAAAGCTATTTCACAATCAAGCATGCATCTTGCAGTTAACGACGAACATTTGACGGCAAGGAATGTCTCAAAACAAAAGAAAATGTGCTCCATCTGATAAACTTACCTTTGTTTTATCGCCAAAAAATTTAACGTTATAATATGTTATCGCGGAGAGAAATGTTTGGCTCTGTTTTATCTGATCATAATATTTATACATATGGTGTAGGTACTCAATAAAAAAATAACAAAAGTTTTTGTTTTTTTTAATACGTTGCTAACTAACTCCAACAAGAGAACGTTAAGGAAAATTAAAATAATATTATTATAGTGTATAAAAAGATTTAAAACATTGGTCTAATGTTGGCTAATAATAAGGGTGTGGGCCGATCTAAGGTTTAATTTTCATTAGTTTTCAACGGATATATTTTTTTAAACATTGGACTTCGTCTAGAAATCTGGACATGGGTGGGTGGTAGGATACAGAAATGCCGTTCGGTTCACGAACCACCAACAACAGATATAAAAGCCATGAAGTCACGTCCACAGACTGTAATCACGTTTCGATTTCAGTCTGTGGATTTCCGAATATCCAACCTGAATCCTTCGACAGCGCATCTTGTGTAAAGGTATTTCACCTCTCATCTACCGCATGCCTGTCTGTCCTCTTCTATCATAAAAAAATAATAAATATCTTTTCAAGTAATGTCTAAGGTATATTACCCTCATTGCTTCCGGTGATCTTGAGAAATCCACTGGTTGACATTTCCAACTGTAACTTCTTAACCAACCCGCATCGAGACCCTGAAAGACCGAGGTATACTACGATTGTTTATAACTAATATACAACATTAAGTTAAACTTCAAGTATGAAAAGTAGATAAACACTCCGTTAAGTACGACAAAAAAATATTTGGTTAGGCTAATAGGTAAAAAAAAAATTTACAGACTACATTTATCTCAGTGGTGAAACGTGCTAGGCTATTCTACTAAGCATGGAAGGTCCAGGTTCAAATACCTTAAAAACATCAGAGACGAGATCATACGCACCTCATAAAACAACCATATGCTGACTACAACCTGGATAAAGTTATACACCACTAACGTCTTCTGTAGTTGAAAAGGCTTTTTGTCCGCCATGTACCTGGGCCCCCATTTTAAAGTGAAGTATAGATACAGCCCTAATATTGTAAGCCCCGGTATGGGACTTTTGATCAAGAACCAGTCGTTTGTCCTAGGGTCTGAAAAAAAAAAGCGATTTTATTTATTTATTTATTTGCATTATAAATAATAATTGTTGTTGTGTGTTGAACTTTCATGCAAATTTTATATTTTTAAATAGTTTTATTTAGCTCGTCCTTACGGAATTTATTTATTTGGGTCAAAATTAGAATTTAAATTTAAGCACCTTCCCTTGATCTGTAATTTGGTACACACATTTAATTAAGATGACAATACAATTTAATAAAATCAAAAGCATTATAAATCCAAGATGGCCGCCGATACAAAATGGCGGATTAAATTTTTTCCTTAACCCCCTCAATATCAAAGGGCTACATTAGTAAAACAAGATGATTGTGTCAAAATTTAATTTTTGTACTTTTCAGTCTTTTTATAAATATAATCGCCAATAACTATTGCGATAAAAGCAATTTATTTAATTATTAATTAGTTTGTACACTATATATACTTATTTTGTATTACCACAATTTGCTTATTACATAATGTGTTAAAAACATTAACAGTATAGTAGAATCTAATTGATTTAATGTGGACTTGAGCTGGAACCACAAAACAATGGGAATAGAATATTCTACGGCACCAGAATATTATTCTTCAAAGTCAATAAATAAATAATTTAATTAAAGGAAATATTTACAACGTAACGTAATCGGAAGTCATTATTATTATGTAAATGACAGGCGCACCTGTCATTTACAACAGGTTGCTGTTTCTTACTTGTATCTTTATATTGTAGTACAAGTACGCATGCGCTAATAAAAAAATCGCCCTTTATAAGAAGACTTAACTTAGTCTAAGTTTAGTATTAGTTTAGTTGGTATAAGTTAAGTGTTTTTGAGTTGAAATTGAATCTTTAACTTTTTAATCTTAATCTTAGTAATTCATTCTTAATTATACATATATTTTTACACATACATATATTTATACATATATTTTTTTTAATAGTTCAAACTTTTCACTTTAGTGAACAAGAATTCAAAACACTGTCTAGTTTTCGCGAGTATTACACATTTAAATAAAAAATTATAACTGTAACGGTTTAATCCAAGACGTCGGGTCGTAGTTAAAATTAAGTTTTAAACAAGTTTAACTAATTTATTTCCCGTCTTAAACTATTAAAGTAATTTATTGAAAAATTCAAAAGTACCGTTTTTGTTGGTTTGGAAAATTATAATACAAATAAAAGAGACTCACCAGCTAACTCCACAAAGAGGCGATTATAAGCCTTTGTTATCGAGTTGTTAGACACTGCCATGTCGTTTGTTTCTAGGTTCAGCACTTTTTCACTGTTGTATTGCCATGAAAGGCTTTCCCGCATCTTTCCAAAGTTACTTGTCTTACTTCAATGCTGATTCTGAAAAAAACATTCACATCAGTATGTCCCTTTACGTATTCTATGAGATTTTAAAATTCATACCACTTTATATGTAGTTACGCGAGTGGTACAAATTTAAATAAGCAAAATATATTAGTTAAACTTATTTTAACTACGGCCCGACGTTTCGAATGCTGCTAGCATAAGTTCAACTAATATAATTCGCATTTTAAACTGTTTTAAAGTGTTTTATGTAAATTAAATAGATTGTTTTGAGAGCAACGTTAAAGATCAGGATGATCAATACACCGGGTATTGATCATACTGTCTTCATATTAATAGATCTTAAACATCTATTAATATGAAGACGTATATACATTTGGCGATTCGTTATACATATTAATAAGCTTGGACTTATGAGTCACATTGACGCCTATTTTTATCAATATGATGTTAATTCTTCATCAATTGTTGTATATTGTTAACGCTGACTTGTGCTTAAATTTTTGGTTAGTTAATGTGAAAATAAGCAAACAGCAAAACGCATATTTAAGTAATAAATTATACTGTCATTATATAATAACAGTTTATTAAAATAAAAACATAAGTATTGTAAAGTATGTTATTGAAATTAACAGAAATTAACATCCAACATAAAAATCATGGGACTGTACAAATTAAGGTTCTGTAAATAATTGGAAAAACGTATTTATGAGAATGGCCATGAACATATAAAGATTTCGTAAGATATCAACGATAGGTAAAAAGAAAAATGTTTGTATCAATAAACCTATGAATTGGCAACTCAGTCGGCGACGTAACTCTTGTGTTATCCATGTATTCTATAATAGAGAGGTGAGATAAACACGGTGTTAACTTGATTTTAGGTATAGGTAATACCTAATCCACATAAAACTTCAAAAAGATGTTGTCGATCTATTTTACCTTTATATATTCAGAACTATATTTTTTTTTTTTTTAGAACTAATTAATATATCAATATAATGAGGCATAGGAGAATAACAATTTATATTTAAGGATCGTCTGGTACCTGTCTTACCACTATTAACGAACACATAGTAAATAGTCATAAATAATATCGTTATTATGTGCATATATTATATATTAATGCTTTAGATTATTTTATGAAGTACGGCATTACTAGTCTATTTTTCTATACTATTAGTGTTGTTTTAAGAACACACTTGTTTTTTGGTCATACGCACTTTGATTTTGTAATTGAGGTATTTATATTTTAAACTGGTTTTAAAATATGATTATCTCTTCTGTTATATACACTTTTTCATGATTATCTCTGTATATCAAAGCTTACACAAAAGCTTCTTAAAAAAAGAGAGTAAAAAAATATCTAACTAATGTATAGGTTTTTAATCAATATTTTTAATTTGTATATATATAAAATAAAAATTATAAATCAACCGTTAATAGTTAAAAACTTGAAATTAAAAAAAAAATCTTTACTGCCTTATTCAGATTTTAGATTTAAAATTTAAGGAATACCAAGGTACTTCGGACCTTCCGGATTTCTTGTCGGCAAAAAAATATGTATCAATATTTTCACTGTAAGTAACAAAACAATTTTTTTATTACATTTTAGTGCCGGCACAAGCAAGTGATTATGTAATTTATTAAATGCGAAAGAAAATACAACTAAATAGAAAAGAAGCTGCTTTAATGCGTTAAACTTATTTATAATTGGAAATATATATGTTACTTAGATGAGCTGACGGTCTTATTTGAAAAGATAACATACAAATATGGTAACATCGACGATAGCGAAAGTATGTTTAAATACAATATAACTCACGTCCTATAAAGTCCACTGCGGTAGTCTATTTGGTGTACAGATCGATAAATATTGTAAATGCACTTCAAAGAAAGATTGAACACACAATTTCCTATACCGATTCAATAATATATTCTTCACAACCACTCCGATCGCTAACTTGACCGCTACTGTGTGGCTTGAGCGAGATTTTTCATTTCCCGACAACCCTATGTAGCATTGGTCGCCATTTTGAAACGAGAATGAAGGGCTGCGGGCTACGCTCGTAGAAGGCTACGCTATCGACCTGTTTTACATGCAAAGTTTCGAGTAAATAAGTCTAAATGTTGAATCATTCTTATTGGTATTTGAATATCATTAATCGTTATATAATTTACGTAAAGGAAAAATATATTCTAATTTAACATGCAAAGTTACAGTTCATTCTTGAACTCTTTTGTTATAATTTAATTTCCATGAATACGTTGAGCCTACACTAACCTTTAGACTATACATATATTTTCGCGGTGCAATAAAAACAACAATGTATAGCGGTTCTAGACATCCCGATTTTGAACGTACATTTTTTTAAATAAAAATGAAAAACACGGAACGGACTCAATATCATTTATCGAGATGAAATTGAAAATTATTGCCCGACGTTTAGGATACTTTGCAGCACCCGTGGTAACGGTGAATCGGCTTTTTAACCGCGCCACGCGTTTTAAACCGTTAAAGTGTTTTATTTAAATATGTACTACTCGCATAAACTACAGACAATATTTAATAATTATTTTTGTAATCATACCTAAAATACACGCTGCTATTTCTTTTTCACGTAAACATTATTTAAGAAAATCAGTTTACTTATTTAATAAACAAATAAACTAATTATTGTCTCAATATTGACATAATTTCGATTTTCCACTAGAAAAACCTCAAAGTTCAGGCTTTTAACGGGCCTTAATGTAAAGAAAACGTAATGTATATCTAGCTTAAGCTATTTAATTAAGTTCAATGATATAAAATATTTTTGCGGCCTTTGCTTTTCTATAAACTTCTACCGTAAACAAGTTTTATATCGTAAGTCAAGGGCACCAATATTTTGATACAATATGTATAGCCGCGAATTGCAGAGAGGTTATATCATTAACGGCTATATTTATCTCACAGAACATTAATCAAGCGAGGGAATTAGACTTAATTAAATCGACTATATTGTACTATTTGTATACAAAAACAAGGAAGGAAATAAAAACTGGCTACGCATATATGAAATATTACCTAACAGAACTTATTTTTGATTTTTATTTGTTTTGTAATAATAGTTATATAATTAAAAACCGACTTTATAGATTGAAAAAATATACGGCACGGGAAGGACTTGAAACGGCATTCACAGTGTTCCGTCCTGCTGCTCGAATTTCTTCAACTCATTGATAATGCCTCTCTCACCTGCCCACCTCTCTCGCAATGTCCTTAATTACAAAAAAGGACACAGTAGGTATTGTGGTTAGAGCAATAGCACGGAACGCTGTAGATGCCGTTTCAAGTCCCGCCACTGTCTATCTAGAATTTAGCTTTTAGCAGGAGAGTAGAACAGAAAAAATTAAAATACAGCACAATTTCTGCAAACGTATGTGTTTTTGATCTATTCCGTGGCCCATTCAATAACATACACTTTAAAATTTAAAAATCGAAAATAAATCGTTTTTTTTTAAATTTATTTTCGATTTTTAAATTATATTGTGCCAATCATGTGCTATAAAGTTTTCAAACATACACTTTACGTATTTTATTACAAGAAATATAATGATGTGTATATTCATGTAATGTATACTGTTAATTATTAAAGGCTTTGTGAACAGTTTTTCTTCGTTCATTCATGGCGTTTAGCACCATTTGGACGAAGCCAAGTTTCGAGACCCTCGTCTCACGATGTTTGCCGACGCGACGTTTTGTGAAACATTTGTGATGCGAGATCTTGTCAACTGGTTGCCGCTGCCGTGTCAATACTAGCAATAATATGCTGTATGCTAATGAGATAAAGGTCAGGTTTGCTTATTTATTATTTCTTTCGACACCGTCTTGGTTCGCCAGCTGTCCTAAATACCGTGAAGCGGAGAGGGCCACTCGAGTCTCCCTACATTTGTGTTTTGCTAGTATTCGGTGTTACAAGGCAGATTTTGACAGGCCCGTTGGTGTAATGGCAGTAACATTTCGTGGGGTTCAATCCCCACCGCATCCAACAATTTCCTAATTAATCTATAACTTTTTTAAAACATGATGGACTTCGTCTGGAAATCTGGATATTAATTGGGTGGTAGTAATATCATAATTCCACCCGGGTCCCGAACTCCACAAATGAAATGCCGCGTAGTTTAATCGCCTTTCCGTTTCAGTCTGTGGTCTGTGTATGTGCGAAGATCCAAAGCCAACAAAGGTCGACAGTCGCATCTAGTGTAGATGTTATATGGCTGGAGTATTTCACCTGGGATCAAGTGAAACTCGCGCTTGTGGTATAGGAAAAAAATACAGACTGCGCTGACATGCAGTCCAAAAAAGAAATAAAAGGTTAGCGAAAGTACTCGATATGTTGATCTGTCTATTGCTATAAATGATGTCATTGATACATGATCCTTAAGCTACTATATCAATTAAAAGCTTTTAGTAAAGATAGAAAGTTAGATATAGAAATTTATTCAGATATATTTACGGCTTCTTCATTTGAGGACGGAGGTTTGTGATCCGGAAACTTGATAATACTGTGCCATCTATAGTTTACGCGAGTAGTACATATTTAAGTAAAACAATAAACCGTTACAATGTTTTATTTAAATAATGTGCCGATTTTCCTGACATTAGTTTTATTTTAATATGAAAATCAAAAAATAATTCGCGGACATACTTACTCGATAGGAATTGACACAATGACAAAACTTACAAAAAATAGTTTTGTCGTCAGTCTGTGTATTCCTTGAAAAGATATTTTGCTAATTTAAATAATGTATCGATATTCTATTAATACGATGAATACTTAATGAACGAAGATTAATTGCTTAAAACTGAATGACTAATATGCTATTTTTGTTTACCATGTGTTTTTGTTTTTAGCTTAGAAAAGTTTCCATATTAGTATTTATTTATTTACACTTTCTTGCACAAAAAAATTACCAAAAATATAAACGAGACTTATATACTAAAAATATGGAGGCGG